AACAGTAGGCTTACATAAATATGAGTTCATCTGATTGATAATGAGCGCTGTTTTAAAAAAAGACGTCTTAGATATGAACCAATAGAAGTGGCACTGCACAGTACTTTATGCATGTTCACCTCCTGGTCTTGGTATGTGAACTCCCTAAACACATGCAGATGTTAATTTTGTTTTCTTTGATTTCCTTTCGGATCTTTGTGCTGTGTTTCCTGTTTACAAATAAAGGCTGCAAGAATGATGCTGTCTCGCATAAAGCAAGAAGTGTTGACTGATTTCAGCTCATTGATTATACTGTGTTTAGTGATACAGTCAGTCCCATCTTTCAAATAAAAATAAACACCAAGTTATGCAAATTTCTTTCTAAGAATAAGATTTAGAAGTGGTAATCCACCATCATCACATCCTGGAGTGCTCTTGCTAGAGTCCAAAAGTCTTGTCTTGCTCTGCTGTTCTTTGAGAACATCACAGCACTGCATCGTTATGCGTCTTCTGATGAGGACCGTCAAACATTCACTCACAGCAAAGCAATTAAAAGCTGTCAACAGTGAAGGGGATGACAAAAGGACTTGGTCTTGTTTTCTGTAAAAGGAATACTTTTGGAAATACTCAGTGGCATATGGTTCATTTATCACAGCATTCTAAAATACAGAAAGTGCCACATTATTAATTTCTTACAGGAAGCTGTCTGGGAACAGGGAATTTATCTTGCTGTCTTGAGTTGATCATGAAGACCATGGAAAAACCAGGGAAAGTGGCAACATCATGCTGTTCACATCTCCAAATAAGAAATGACTAATTACACTGTCTCCCTAATGTTGGTGTAGTCAGTGTTTCCTAGTTAATTACATAGAGGACTTAGGATTTGTTTGCTTGTTTTCAGTTCTCTTCCATTCGTTTGTTTGTGACGGAAGACATGAATTGGAAGGAACAGAGCCGTTTCTGTCACTGTGACAGTGCACAGCCATGAAGAGACTCCCGGACAGCCTCTGTGTAGAATTTGAAATGCACCTGTGAGAGAGTGGCAGCATTTTTTCCCCGAGTTTATCATGATGGTTGCTCGTTGAGTTCACTCTAAAAAACCTCATCGACAAAGGTTTGCATCAGCAAAAGATAATTTAAATTAAGGTTGTGGGACAGTCTTCCAGCCAGCACCAGGTATTAAAGCTTCTAAAGAAAACCACAAAATATTTAATTGATAAATCATGTGTCTCAACCTAATTTCAGTTCTCATTTTGTCCCATCATTTTAATATCATTTTGAAACAATGCAGTTACTAGTGGCACAGGTCACAGTGTGTAACTTCCTTGAATGAATGTGAATTAGGGATTAAAAGTGGTGAAACAATGTTAATTCTTGTAAAAGATATTTAGTAATTGCCACTGTTTTTTCCCCTTGTCTGTCCAGAAGCCAAGGGGAAGCTGGCAGTGGTCCAGTACTAAGATGCAGTGCTTGTTTCGATCGATTTCTTTACAAGTCTGGAGGCTGTTTAGACAGGCAGCTTTCTCGTTTTGTTTAACATAAAGTTCACCACATGGAAACGTGGCAGCTGCTTCGCTGGTGAACTTGCTGTACCTTTCCATCCTTAATTCCTGTTTGGACAAGAGAATTCCATAAATGAAGTTATTTTCTCAAATAATGCCAGCCTTCCAAATGGTGGTTTTGGCTTTCCTCTGTCATTACCAGGGTGTTATAAAATAGTTTTTGTTTGCTGGCATTGTGAATGCAGTTTTGTTAATTTGTATCAGCTGCTATCTTATGTTTCCATGAAGCATGCCGCTACTTGGAAAGATTTTAAAATTGTAAGTCCAAATCGGAAAAGAGGGACTGGTTCAGATTACATGTTTTGCTGCGTTTTTTCTCCTGTATTAGAACCTTTGGTGATTTTAGATTTTATTTAATTATTGGATACAGAGAGGCCTGCATTAACAGTAGCATTTTTGTTCCTCTAAAAGCAGCTACAGTAGACATGAGACATGTAATGTAGCCCTTTTTGTTTAAGAGAAACGTGAGGTTCTCCACTGGCAGTGTGTAATTTGTACCGATAAACAGAAAGCTAGAAACCAGAAAGAGGATGTGTGTTTATTATCTTTATTTGATCCAAGGGTTTCATCCAGTCATTTCTCGAAAGAGCCTGTGTTTAATATTTTAACACAGATGTCTTTAATTTAAAAAAAACATACTAGAAAGGATCAGTTTCTTTCTCTTTATTTACAGGTATATTGTGTAATTGAAATGTTGACTGTGACGATATAGGAACATTTGTGCTGCAGCCCTTTTTTTCCAGATAAACACATTTTTTGTACATGTAAGTAAACAAAAGAGAAACTTTCAGTTACACTGAGATCAGATTTCCTTTTAAATCTGAGAGATTCTAAATATCTTTTTATTACTTCCCTGGGCTTCATGTGAAGCCAGGTCATATGGTATTTGTGGTTATGCTGTGGTTTTTTGGCACCTCACTTAAGCACAGACTCATGAGCTGACCTGCAAGCCTAGGTTGTAGCATTACTTTCAAGCATCCAAAAACTGGTTGATTATGGGATTTCTCAAATATTATTATTATTATTATTATTATTATTATGACTGTTTGTTTAAAAAATCATATCCATAGCTTACCAGCCCTTCCATCTGTTAAAGACCTAAAATGTTGCTCTTTATAAAAAGTTTCCATTACTTATTACTTAATATAATTTTCCATATTTTCCATGACTTCACAGCTGTTAGCAACAGCTCCTCAATGTGTTGTGTTGATACAGCATACACCCCTTCCTTCTCATCTGTGATTTTGTATACTGGCGAGGTCATGTCCGGCCTGGCCTGAGAGACCTTCTCGAAGCTTCTGTTACTCTCTTGGAGACATAAATCTACTCAGATTTTCTCTGAGGCTCAATTCAAACTTCTCGCATGCTCTCGTGCTTCCCAATATCCCTCACCTCTTCCCAGTTCTTCATTCGCTTGGATTCAGTCCTTTGTTGCCTTTTGTTGTGCTCAAATCCTTTAACCCACAAAACACAAACTAAGGAAGATGAGCAGCAGTGATTACTGTACAGTCATTTCATCATCAGCTTCACAATCATCAATTCCCCTATCGCCACCATCAACACATCATGCATGTTCACATACACTGTTGCAGGCTCATCACATCTCCCCTTAGATTACTGCACTTTGACCATCAAAAAAGTGCTTTACTTTAATTTTTTAACATTCCTTTATATAATACAAATGGTGCAGGACTAAGATTATTTTCTGTCATGTTCTTTTGTTATTTGGTACATTGATGTTGATTTTCACAGTGTATTAGGTGTATCCATGGTATTTACAGTATTTGGTATAGTACACCTTTTTCCCATTATATATAGTTTTCAGTAACTGCAGATAGTTCAGGGACATATCCCCCATGAATAAGGTGGAGTGGGTGTACTCTTTTTATGGACCCTTATTTGGTCTCTAGATGATAGTATCTACTGTATATAAATTTAACATTTTCTTCTCAAAGGATCCCATAACTCTCACATTGATGATGCACTGCAGCAGTTATTCTCCATCAGCCCCACTAGATGGAGGGATGAGAAACCACTTCACCAGTGAATTGAGAGGGAACTTTAGGGAAGCCAGACTTTAGAAGCCCAGAGTGGGGAAATTACCCAGGAAGCCAGGGTTAACACCACAAATCTAATGAGCAGGATCTCAGATGACTTATCTGAAAAGCTGTTCTTCCTGCAGCACAGTATCCACGGTTACCATACTGGGGAAGTGGTTTGGAAATTGTGGTCCATAGGGAAGAGCATCACCTGCTGGTCCACTGAACCCCCTTGAACACCTGTCTTCCAAATGGTGACCAGGTCCAGCTTTTCTTAGCTACTACAACCAATTCAGATCAGGCTATTTGATGGTAACATTGCTGTCTGGGTGTCTGCTGCTGCCTGCTTTTGTGTGTATATAACTCGGGCACTAAGAAATGTACCAAAAACAATAGAAACTGTTTGGGGAAACAAATTACACTACCAGGAAGTGTTGCCAGTCTCAGAAGGGCACTCTAATAATGTTGTTATCTTTCATTAAGGGTGCTTCTGCAAAGATTGAATTGTCATAGAATCTTGTTTCAGTAATGGCACCCACAGCTTACAGTTGTTTATTATTTTTCACAACTGACATTTGCAGTGTTAATGACATTAGTTGTGTATGTCCAGTCATAAATCTGCTCATTTGTAGATTTGTATTCTCCTTACCTAAACCATGGGCTCCAGATACTTTCTGTTAATAACTACAAAAATTGCACCATTAGTGCTGCATATTTGCTTTAAGACTGCTACACATTTCCTTTCCTGCATTGACATAATCCTAGAACTTTCATCACTATAAGAAGTTGTTGCTTTATTAAAAATAAAAACGCAGACTTTCAAGGGGGAAATTTCAGTAGCACAGCTTCAGACTTTCTTGACTGAAGGAAGCATCTGCTCTTTTAACTTGTATATTGTAGCATGTACATTCCTCTGTCAACAAGAAAAAACAAATTCAGGACTCGATTATCTGTGCATCACTGAAGAGAGCTAAGATCAAATCTGACAGCAGTCTTTCACTAAAAGCAAACCTGACTGCCAGTAAGTGGGGTATTACTGTGCAGTACAGTCTGGTGTAACAGTACAGTCACTGCTGTATAGCTCTAACAAGATTGAATTTAGAACAACAGAAGCTTACTGGCTTTGCTAGAAATAGAAAGAACTTTTGTTATAATCCCATATAGAACTGGTTATAATCCCATTTAATTAAACAGGCTTTTTTAGACAAGGCAGCTACAATATATGTCTTAGAATTCCAGGTCTTTTATTTAATTTATATAAGTTACGAGAGGGAATAACAATTATTTTCTAGCTTCCATGACATTTCTAGTTTTAAAGACATTTTTAAGACGGAGAAACAGGAAAGGCCAGATCTCAGGAAAAGGTGCTGAAATGTATTAACCAGCTGTTTAACCACCTGAAACTCCCTGCGTTGCCCAGGTACGGAGTGACACCGGAGAACATCATCCTGTACGGGCAGAGCATCGGCACGGTGCCCACGGTGGACCTGGCTGCCCGCTACGAGTGTGCAGCCGTCATCCTCCACTCCCCCCTCATGTCCGGGCTGCGGGTGGCCTTCCCTGACACCAGGAAGACGTACTGCTTTGATGCATTTCCGAGGTGGGTCTGAATATCTTTTCTTTTTAAACACTTGGCCGAATGGATGGAATACAGCACAACACAGGCTCTCAGATCTCCACTGTGTGTGCAACAGTGGTCTCTTCACTTGCCACCTTGTGTTGTAGTGAAACTGTGTCTAGCAGGAGACCCGGTAATTGAAAAAAGCCCAAAATTAAGAATGCCCCCTTCCCAAACAACCCCCTTTTACCACCATTTTCTTTATTATACTGACTGGTTGTGTGCTATACAGGAGACTGTATGTGAAATAAGAGAGGAAATAGGTTTTGTTGCCTCTAGCTATAGCTTTGTGGTTTTCTCATTCTTTAATGTGTTTTTCTAAAGCTGCGTGGTGTTTCTCACCCTCAGCTCTGCCTGTAAAGTTTTCAGAAAATATTTTTTTTCTTTTGAAGCCTCCATTTAGTTTTGTGCTTACAGAACATCTTGGGGAGGAACAGCATAATTATTACACCTTTAAAGGTCTTTTCAATTCTTAGTTAAGTTGAAGTCTGTTCTCCTCATACAAGACATCGGCAGAAGCAGACTTCAGACAGCAGGTGTGTGGGCAGTAAATGTAGCAGCTGAGCGCAGCAGTTTCTAAAAAAGTAAGAGAGAGTAAGAGAAAAACAGAATAAAAAGTTAGAAATCAAACAGATGCAAATTAAAAAAATATAAGTTAATAATTCTTGTGGCACTGATATCCACTTTGAAGTGCTTCATTTTTTCTTTATATAATTTTAGTGACTACACTGTCTCACAGGTCACTGTCTGATGTTAAGGGTTATGTTGGAACATAGAATACCCCCGAGTACTGTACTGTCACAAGTTTAGCCCAACAGTATAATTTATTTTTGTGTTGGAGGTGGGGAAAAAATAATGTATACCAATGCTGAGCTTACTGTATTGATTTCTGTTGATCTGGACAGGCATAACTCCAGGCATTTACAGGACAATCTGCTGGATCAAACATTGATCTGGTCACATCAGTTCAATCTTTCTCTGTTTTAAAATCTTTTTTACTTTGTGGATTAGTGTGTCTTTTTGTTTCTATCATTTCATTCTTACTTTAACATCATTATATTCTTCTGCCATTGAATAGAGTTTTGTACTCGTTTAGATCTCTGACTTTATAAGAAATATATTCTGTCAAAACTTTTTGCCTATCCTTTTTGACATTCTAAATTCTAACCTAGTATTTGGATTACTATAAAATGGATTTAATTAGTTAATTTTGTAGATTTTATTTCCAGGAACAACCATTTCAAGTTGATGGAGTTATTTTCTTGTGAATCTGGGCAACTCCACCATGTATGAACAGCTGGCCAGCTGTTCCTGAATATTAAACTGCAGAGGGATTATTCCACAGAATCATAAAGTTTCTCTTGGCCTTCGACAGTTGTGATTAACAACTTTGACATTTTGACATGTCACAAAAACAAGTGTGTTGTTATTTTTGTCTGCTGATAGACTGTAGAGAGTAAAATCAGAAGAGCACTCCTAATTCCAGCAGCTAGAAATAAATCCAGTAAGCAGATTACCCCTCTGTAGCACATGCAGTACATACATGGATAGAGGAGGTGATGCTTCAAATATATGGTTCTCCCTCTGGTTTGCACTAATTTGCAAACCAACACAGATCCTTTTCTGAGATTTTTTTTTCCCTTCTGTTGGAGGCGTGGGATGGAGTCATTTGCACTAGACTTTAATGAAACAAGTGCGCAGTTACCAGCCACCTCATGCAAATAGGAAAAGGTTGCAAGGTTAAGAGTAAGGTGATGCTGCACTTTTGGATGTAATCACTGACAAACACCATTTGTTTTTTTTTAATAAAATGAAACATAATGTAATATTACAATATGTATTAGCCTTCCTGCCCTGGAAATACTCTAGGTCAGAATAAGAGAGTCATGCAGTTCAACCCCAGATCTAATAAACTGTACTACTTGCTTGCTTTTTTCAAATGAAAAATCAGATGACATGAGTGTGTGCCTTTTTTGTGTAGAATTTACAATTCCCAGAGCCTGTAATTACTTATGGTTTAAAGATTAAAGACAATAAATCCCACATAGATGTCAACCTGATTAGGGGTGTTTGAACAGAATTTTATCATTTCATCTTTATCCTAAAACTCAGATGATACTTTGAGCCATGATTTGAAACATAAGTGTTCTTTGTAAGCTTTTAATATATTATGAACTGCCATTTGTGAAATAGCAATGACTTGTTATTCATGCAGGACAGTGGGGACAAGTGAGATATTTCCAGATCCAGTTATACGAAATTCAAAATTTGAAAAGAATAAGCTTTGTCCTTTAAAACTGCATGAAAGGAGATAATGGGAATGATTGAATGTGATTGAGTGTAAGCTGAAAACAACAAAGGCAAGAAGGCCGGGAAATATTGAATTAAATTATTCTATTTTTATCACAGGATGCAACAGGATGCTTTAAATGTGGGAATAATTAGGGTAAAATTTGCCACAAAGAGATCATTCTTTTACAACTTTCCTTTGGTTTTGAGTGGATGTGTTAAAAAAACAGATTTGGGATAGCTACTGCCAGGTCTGCGTGACTGTTAAACCGTAGTGCTCAGTGAAAAGTGGTCACCATGGCAAAACTGTATGCATTGTCTAAGATAAGTCTATAACTTCAAAATCTGTTTAGACTGGGTTGCTCTTATTTCCAGCTTTTCACTTCAAATTCCTTCATTCAAACCACTTCCCAATTCCAGTTCACAGAATGTGAAACGGGCATTGGTATGAAAGGGGGAATTTGCCCCCAATGTTTTCTGTAACAAAGCTTTTGTGTCATCGTTGATCCAAAATTAAACACTAACTTGAGGAACCCAGTATTGTATATCCTAGAACGAGTGCACATTAACACTGAGGCTTTGTGCCACAGGTCCCTGGTGCCTTTAACCCACAGCTGCTCTGCCCCATTATCATCTGTGTCAACATCCTGAAAGTGAGAGACCTGTGGGCCGATCAGATATCTTAATAAAGTCTTCTCAGGAATCTGCTGTCTCCTTTATTGGAACTGGAGTTTTAGCAAAGACCTTTCTGACACTGGCCTACTGGCAGGAAGAATAATGGAGTGGCTGTGAACTCTAATTATTTTTTTATCAAACCTGGCTGTAGTCCTTTATTACAGTGTTTTATTTTTGCATTCACATCAAAGCAATCACAGGAGTTTAAGAGGGTAGAACCTGGTACCCCTGCAGGACGTTTGAGAGCAGGCTGCTGAGGCATTTACAGTGAGGCTGTATGAAAATTTAATGAGGTTTCCATCTCGGTGGATTCACAGGCTGCAGTGTGGTGTGGGCTTGAATATTAACGAAGTTGCTGTTGTCTGGTGGGCAGCAGGAATGAAGCACTAGCACAGGACTTCCTGTCGCAGTCTACATTAAAGCCTGCCTTGCAGAAGGAAGTGGCTGGTTGCTGCTAAATTCAAACATCCTAAAAGCAACATGAAAATGTTGAATCGCTGAAAGAGTGTCCACGTCAGAACTTTCTTTTTCCCATTTATAATTATACATTTATAGATTATTTCCTCATATAATCTGCCCAGGTTTATATTGATGCCATTAACAAATTGTTCTAATGTAAAGCAGGAGTCTCCAGCTTCATTCTTGTCTTCTGATTTTTGTTTCAACCCGTGAAAAAAGTTCAACATTAAATTAGCTATAAATAATAGTCTTTTACAATTGATTATAGAAGACATTCACTTCATTAAAGGTACAGTTACCTATAAACCAGCATGGCCAGAAAGTATACTAGTCATTCAGGTAATTAAATAATTAGAACAGCAGTGTAACTGAGAACATGGGTGGAACAGAAATTGGAAGATACCAGGCCCTCCAGCAACCCCTGGTGAAAGTGTTATGAGCATTTGAACTAAATTTTATTGACTAATAAATGCTATCTCAAGGAGGTAGTGCAGTGGGATCACTAGGCAAAAAGGAGAGAGCTTGGCCAGGGAGGATCTGTCTTCTGGGCCAAGTGCTTGAGAAGAAGAGAATGGATTGATTTCCTGAGGACGTGTTTTATTCTTGTTCAAACACTATGAATGAGAGTGGGTATCCCACTGCTGCTAGCCTCCACAGGACAGCTGCTGGCTACCCCACATGCCACCATCTGCTTGCACTGTGAACACATTCAGATGTTTGCCATCTCCTCACTGCTGGTGCGTTTGTAGTTAATGTAGACTGTAGGACTAAAAACATTTATTTCCTGTGTATGGACACCTCTCTAAAGCTACAAGGACCAAGAGTATAAAATTAAATCTGTTCCAACATCCCATTTTTCTATTTTAATTGCCATTTCATTTTTCAGTGACATATTATAGTAATTAAATGGGATATTATAGTGGAGATGTAGTTTTCATCCTGTATGTCTGTCATGTTTTTGTGTATGAATCATCAATTGATCCCAGTTCTGATATATAGAACATGAGATGCAGGAGTGTTATCGCCTTGTTAGTTCTCAGAAATTGAGCAAGTCTGGGCCTGGCTGTAAGTGGTTCTGGTGGGCCAGTAAGTGGCACCCTTCCCTCTGGACCAGAATTTCCAAAACTGTTCCCAGTATGGTGACACTTTGCTGTAGGCGGGGCTGTTTTCTGGATGAGTAATTAAACCAAGGTTCTTGGTTATTATTGTTATTAAAGATTCCAGTGTGGCGCAACTTGTACCTGCAAGCTGAGACATGAAAAAACATACTGCTGGCTATTACAAAATTTGCATTTATAGTTTGCATTTATAAATTTAGGAAAAAAGTTTCCATTGTACTATTTGTAAGAGTAGAGGTGCTAACTGAGTTCTTGTGGGCTCCTGGGGGGACTCCTTCCCCCTCCAGGTGGGGGCTGCACGTCTGTGTTGGAAAAGCTGGGTCCCCTCTTTTAATCCTTCAGGATTAAAAAGATCACATAAATGCAAGGGATTCTTTTTATTGGAAGACCAGTCTGTATTGCATAATTCATAATCTACTATTTAGTGTACAAAATTCAAATTAAGTGCACACTTTTTTCATCCTTGATAGATGAAGACACCTGGTTTCAAGTTTTAAAGATGTCTAACAATTCCTGCTTCTTCAGTTGTTTGCAGTAATAGATGCGTCATCAGCCGCTGGGCTCTTTCTCCTGTTTTTCGGTGCCAGTCCTGACCCTTCAGTGCCAGCCTCTGTGTGTGCTGAGATGCATCTTCTTTGTGTTTCAGCATCGATAAAGTCTCGAAGGTGGCCTCCCCAGTGCTGGTGATCCACGGCACCGAGGACGAGGTGATCGATTTCTCCCACGGCCTGGCCATCTACGAGCGCTGCCCCAGGGCTGTGGAGCCTCTGTGGGTGGAGGGCGCGGGACACAATGACATAGAGCTGTACGCTCAGTACCTGGAAAGACTAAAACAGTTCATATCCTTCGAGCTTCCCAACTCCTGAAGCCGGCCAAGAACCAGGAGCAGAAGACGAAGGAGGAGCATCCAGCCCCGCTGGGAGTGGCGACAGGCTCCCGATCCTCCCCGGAGGGCTGACCCGATCAGTGTCTGCACACGCCTCCTCTCAGTTCCTCTCATGGTTCCTGACTCAGAAGAACGCCCTTTCTCAGTTCTGGGTGAATTTAAATGTGATAACTTTGTATTCTTTTATACCTGAAAAAATCTATTGCACCTCAAATATTCAATTGCTGAATTTATTTTGATTTTTTTTTATTTTCTTTTTGTGCTGGTTTTAAATTCCCATAAAGTGTACCGAGTAACGGGGGCACTTTTCAGGTGCAAGTATTTGTAACAAATTCCTTTCCACACAGTGGTTATAATTTGTATGTTTTTTTGCATTCCTGATTTATTTTTTATATCGTAGTTAGGGGGAAACAAACTCGGATTCCGAATCCTAAAACAGCTGCCCTTGGTGTGGCTTGTGTTTTCTCTGGTCTTTACTTTAGTCAGGTTTCAGGCCAAGGGATTTAATTCACCTGTGTGATGTTTATAGCTGTGGTATTGTAACTGGAACAATTTGTGGTGGTGAGGTTTTATCTAATTATTCATACTTTTGTTTAAGAAGAGAACAGGCCCCTGGATATGTAACCAGATTTTTCTTCTTGCTGCTGAACAGGTTTGGCGTTTCCTTCAAAGCAAACTCTGAAGCATGGTGCTTGGGATTTCAGAAGTTAATGACAGCATAATTGCTGCAGAAATTCAGTGTTCAGCTGTCATTTTCTTATTCAGTAATAACTGGGACATAAACTGTGTAAATCTAACCACTCTAAAATAAGGTTTGAAATGGTAAAAAGGTGTTTTACGTTTTTTGAATTTTACTCCAACATTCCTTTTAATTCTATGGCAGTAGTTTCCTTCTTGGCTGACAGTATCCAGGTTTAATAGACCCTGGTTCAGTTACAGAGAAAGCAATGGTTCACAATTAGCCCATCTGCAATTTAACATTACTGTTTAGGCTTAACTACTGCATGAAAAATACTCCTTAATTTTTCCACAAGGTAATTTTGGTATTTTCAATATTTCCTCAGACGTTACTGAGATTTTGAAAATGTGAGAATTAACAGCTCTCATTTTCTTCCATTTCTACTTATCACTTCACGTGCTGCTTGTGATTCAACAGCTTCTAGACAGCTGAAAGACAGGCCTTACGTACAGAAAGCAAGCTAGCAGGGAAGATCTTTAAATTAGAAATGACCAGTTATATTTAACGGTTCGATCACTGTGAAGCCCTGTGTGCGTGGAGAAAGATCATATTTATCTTTTAGTCTTAATTAAATTAGAAGGTTTTGGTGAAAATGGCTGACCTTTTGAAACAAAACTAAAAAGCATGAGGGGCCTTTTCTAGATGCTCTGGTCTAATGTCTGAGACCTGTAGTCCTACTGTCCTGTCCTCACTGTGAAGCTCCTCTTTATGAAATTCAAAAATATACTTTTAGTTATAAACACCTAGATGGTTAAAGTCAAATTGCAGAATCATTTTTGCAGGATTTCCTTTATTGGTAGTGGCTTTTTCCGTATAGGGCATTCATTTTGCCATTGAAATGTGGCCTCTTTTTTTCCCCTGACTTTTTTTTTTGGCAAGATGTGACTCTGAATTGTTCTCATGTCCTGGACTGTGAACCCCAGCTTGGAGAACAGCACTCTTACATATAGATGTGTTTATTGCTGTAGAAACTTTATTATTCTCAAACAAAACAGGATTTTGTTGATGTATTTTTAGCCTCCTCATTCCTTTCATACTGAAAAGTTTTACAGTGTTTTTCAGTAACTATTAATAAATTCACACATTTGTGTTATGCAGATCTTTTTTCTTTTGATATCTGTAGAAAAGAAACTGAATTAAAGGTATTTAACTTGATTTTGACACTGGAATCACAGTAAGCATAAATAATGCAAAATACTTAAAAGGTACACACACTACTAGTAGATTTTACTGAAATCAAAAAGCCTTAAATGTACTGTAAGATTGAGATTGTTAAAAACTGATTGCGTAAAAAAAGTCTGTGTTCAGTTGCTTTCTGGCAACATAATGGTTGTAATGGAATAAAGGATGCATGGAATTATAAAAAGTTACCTTCTTCTTGTTTTTTAAGGAATTTGTCTTTTCATGGGTAATAAAGGTGCATAGTTTACTACGTTAAGAATTATTAGGTTCTAACAGTGATGGCAATCATAAACTGGCCAGAAGGACTTGTTGAAAATGAGACAAAACGGATTACATTCTGTGAATTTTCAGTTTAACACACTTTCACTTGCTGTTCTCTAGAATTGATTACTGAAGTGCCCAAGTAGCTGGGGTATCTAAATCCACTCTAAACAAACTTCAGTATGACCAGATTTCGGAAGCCAAAATCCCAGTTTGGTCAAGTGCAAGTGATCACATTACTTCTGTCCTGGACTCCTTGCGCTGGCTTCCTATGAGGTTTAAAGTTGCCTTAAATATCCTCATGCTCACTTACAGGGCTCTACAAGGCTCTACATGGCCTGGCACCTCAGTACCTTTCTGATTTACTTTCATCCTGCTCGCTACCTTACAACCTTCGTTCGTCTGGCTCTGGTCTACTGTTTGTCTCCCAAGCTCCTCCGCATACAGTACTACGGGTGACGGGGCCTTCAAAGATATCAGAGAATCACCCTCCCTGAGCACTTTCAAATCCAGACTGAAAACCTTCATGTAATTGATGTCCGTGCATGCTCCTATGTACAGTATACTGCTTTCTAAACGATTGTTTTTTATTGTTCTAATTCTGTTATCTCCTCTCCTTTGAGAAGCTATGTTTAAAGGTGCTATATGTTCTCTATCTTTTTATCTATAACTGATTATTTTGGAGCAAGACTATGCACAATTCAAACAAGATTTCACAATGAATCAATACGGACACAAGCAGGCTTGAGATGACATAGCCTCTGGAAATCCTTGTCAACCAGCAGGAATCGTCATTTTTAGAACGCTTCTATAAGTTCTACGCTAGTGTTTGACTATGTCTTTGTTAAGCTTCTTAATGTTAAGCAACTGTTAACCTTTCTCTCCTTCAGGAACTTTAAAAATACCTAATGGATAGCTGGTAGTTGTGGTACTTTGAGTAGGTTCTGTTTGGCTCTTGTCTCAAAAACAAATAGCGCTTTACCAAAACTATTTCTTGGTGACATTTTTAAAAAATGATCATCACCAGTTTGAATTTCTCCATCTCTGTTTCATTTCAAATGCTTTTCCCAGCTCTATTAAAGAGAATGTCTCAAGATTGAAATATTTGCTTATTTCACATATTTACTGCATATGCAGACCTCAGGTGTTCCTGCTGCTATTTTGTGTTTTTCATCATACTGTATGCTTATTGTTTTCTGCTCTCAAAGAAAAATGAAAAAATCTGAAGTTGTCTTATTGTTGTGGAAAAACACTTAATACAGTTAAATTTAACCCCCTTTTATTTTATTATTCCATTTTATTGAATTGGTCTTTTAAATATTTTAGATCTTTACACCTAAATCCAGATAGAGGATATCTTAAAGATGTTCAGCAAAGATCTAAGCATACTTGCGTGTATGTGAGTATATGGAAATAAAACCTGGCTTTCTGAAGTGATATTTTGAAGAAAAATATTTGGGTTAATGTTTCAAATAGATTATTTTTAAATGGTATTTTTTTTTAAATATAAATCTGCTCATAGTAAACATTCATTATTTAATTTCTGGTGAACCCACTATAGAAACCTGAAACGAACAAATCAGATAAGAAACTATCCCATCAACATCGGTAAGTGAGATGATTGAGATAATGTACAGCATTTTTTTTTAAACTATGGAGGTCCTTAGATTAGTTGCAGATTAATGCTAGTAATGTAATCTTTGCCCATGCATTTGTCTTATGGAGATGACGGATTGCAGTAGATTAGTGTTTCTGGAGTGCATTTCTCTGTGCAAGTTAGGGAATGTGTGCCTGCAGAGCTGAATTAAAGCTTCTCTGCTTTCTTTAAATCTATATTTAGAGCTCTTAGTATAGTATTTGGGTTTGGGTTTTCAGGGCCCATTGGATAACCAAGGCTACATGATCATCAGGATCTTGAAGCTGAAAAGCTCAACTGTTAGAGCCAGTTTTATAAATAGAGCCACTGTGATTTCCTGCTCTGCATCTGAAAGAGCTGGCATTGGGTAAGTAACCTGCTGCTGAATGTAAATGGCTTTAAAAAGTGATTTGGCTGTGCAAGAACTTGCATTTTTCATATATGTAGACTTAATGTCTTAAAGAGTTTTTCCTGGCAAAACAATTGGTTGGCTATTGGAGACTATTGAATGCTGCAGTTTATGTGTTTTGTTCAATCTAATGCTTTTCTGGTTGAAAAAATAATGTATTAATGCAAGAGGTGAAAAAAGACTTTACTGCAAACCACAAATTCCTTCTGCTCTTAGAATATGTTCCACATGGATTTAAATACAGTCATTATCCCAGACAGGAATTGCCTTTCAGGAGGAGGGACATACCTCGCTTGAAGAATGCCAGGGGAACTCAGACCTTTCTCTGGCTCTGTCTAGTTACAGGACCCATAGGAGAAAAATTAGGGATGCAGGGAAAACAGGAGTGAGCTCCTGTGTGCTTCACTCTAAGGTTTACCAGTGGTTTGGGAGTTCATTAAACTCAGTGCGATTTGATTTGGCAGGCACTGCATGAGATGTCACGAGTTTTAATGGAAAAAAAAAAACTGAAATGTTACCAAGGGTACAGCCTAGGTTTTGAGCAAGAGGAGGAACACGCTTGATAAATATGCAATTCAATTGTTGCACCTTCTGCACATTTTACAGAGGCAAAAGGTGAGTATGACCACTCCTGTGTCATGGATAAATTAATCCTGTTCTCTTTTTAAAACTGCTGTGAATGCTGATGAGAGGTGACATGCATGCATATTCAGATTTCAACTGGAATTGGTTTCTTTCAGCTCAGGTTGGAGGAAAGTGTAAAATTATTGTTTCAGCACTTTGTTTTATTTAATCTTTTTTTCCAGCAACTACTTTAAAGCTTTGGTATGTTGTAATGATGTGTGGAGTGCACTTTTTATGCCCCCAGCCATTCACACAAGCGGAAGTGCTGGGTTACGTGTGAGGTTTAAAATGGCTTCTTTGCATAATCAAATCATGAAAGCACAACCACTTACTTGTAGCCGTTATCGTGTAAAAAAAAAAGAAATAAACAGATTAAAAAGGATAAAACGTGAAATTATTAATTTATTTATTGTAACTTGAACTAAACACATAGCTTTACTGGAAATGTAGAACTTTGTTTAAAACATTTAATTACTTTAAATCAGTTAGAGATAAACACTTGTTTTTTTTTTGCACACACACCTCAGCACTTACTCTTTATTTTCTACTTTCTACTAGTAGTTGTACATCACTGTATCTTCGTCAAAATGAAAAAAAGAAATTGATAGTTTATAGTTTTATAAATTCCCACAGAATAATTCATAAAAGTAAACACTGCAGTTTGTTTTACTAAATGTATTCACAAAACTTCCTCTTGACTTTTTGACTTTGTGTTAAAATGCTCGCTGGTACTCTTTTTCCTTTTTCACTTGCATCAGGTTTGAGACACAGAATTTGAATTCTTTGCAAAGATTATGGAAGCCTATTCTGATAATCCGTGATGGATTCATCTTCACACACAGAGTTTTCAACAGCAACAGCTGGATTTTTTAGGTGCCTTTGCTCTGGAGGCCAAGGATCCTGGGAAACTACAAGGAAATGCTGAAATTATAATAATATACCTGAGTCATTCAGCCCCCAGAGTGTATAAAGGACCATCTCATTTTCCTTCTTTCTCCCATGTGCAGGACACTGAGAAGCCTCTTTCACTGCATTCTGAGTCTGAATACTCAAAACTCTTTCCACACTCCTCATGCCGTTTCATAGGGAGGAAAGAATCCTGAATCGTGAATGTGCATCATCCTCGCCTGCCTAGAACTGCTCTGCATGGCTTGTCCTCAAGCACCTGAGTGACCCTTCCACCCTGTGACCCAGTGAATTAGTACAGGCCTTGAATCACACCACAGGCACAGTGTTTTACACAGTTGTAAAAGCTGTGGATTTCTGGTAGATCATTCTGTATTAACAGGAACTATTAATGCACAGTTAGTGCTGCTCTTCTATTTTAATATAAAAGGAAACTACATGACAAAAATACACAGGTCACCAATTTAAATCATGATTTGTATTAGAGCTAAAAGGTTATCAAATGTTTTTGAGTTTTATATCCCCCTTTCAGGAATTAAGTTGACGGAGGTTTTTTGATGTACAGTATATATATTCATTGGGTTCACAGTAAGTCAGTGGTAATGATTCTGCAATGCTAGTATTAGTTCATACAGCTAATACAACTTTATGCTGTGCTATAACAGTAATTCCTTGGAAACCTTGACTAATTGCCTAGCCCAGAGTCTGGGATTTTCTTGCCTTTACTTACAGTGAGTAAACAGCAATGCTACATCACTTGAATGCTGCAAATCTTTTTTTTATATATATATATTTTAAAGATGAAACAGGCTCTGTGTATCTGAGGAGTTTTTCCTGTTGGCCCTGTTTTCTGTCATTTTAAGATTATATTTTATACCATGCAAAATGATGTGCCTCAGTTTTGATCATGTTATATAAATAAAGGTTGAATAAATGTACTATTAATGGTCAATTTATATTAAGGTTCTGTAGAATATTAATAAAGATCCACAGTAGTGGAGGTTCTGTTAAGATTAGTATGTGTATCTATGGATGCTTAATAAATATTCTAAAGAACCTCAGTTTATAGTAAATTGATCTTTAATGGAATATCAATTCAGCTCTTATTCACACAAGTTAATCTAAAATGTTACCATATACTGTGTAGAACAGTCTGTTCCCTCTCTGAGCAGTTCCAAAATAAATAAAGCATAAAAAAGTGGAAAATTATATTCTGCAAATGTGAATAACTCAGTGGTGTATTTCTCACATGTAAAACATTGCATTTTTCGATGTGCTTTGAATATATGTGTAACTTGTGTTCTTTTATAAAAACTCTCATTGTTTTTTTTTTCAAATTTTAGAATCAGAGACACATTTAGAGTAATCTTCCATTTCCTCCCCTTGACCAGCAGGTTTGCCGTTCTGCCTTGCTGAAGGAGTTCTTGTGATGCGTCCCTGAAGCCAAAAAAGATGGGAGTTCTGGATCCAGTCGCTTCTCCCCACAGCGACCTCTGCTCTCCATGCGGCCTGTGGAAGTCAGAGCGCTCTCAGAAGAATAAGAAGACCCTTGTGTGTAAAACCCCAGGTGCTCCCAGAGCTCTGATCTGCACAGTTCTCATTCTCTGCTCAGTGAGCTGGCAGGGATCCCAGGCTGAAATTCCTGCAGGTTGGTAAGACTCTTTCGGCAATAACACCAACACGAGATTCACAGAAAAATGACTAAGGGTTTGTTTTTAACCTGAAAACGTAGAATCCGAAGTGAAACATGAACTTCAAGAGAAGCTATGAGTGTAGTAATCCTGTTGCGGTCACACTTTCTGCATGAATTAAGTTATTCTTTCTTTGTACTGTATGATTAGTAGCTTATTATTCCAAAGCAAAAAAATAAATATAGTCAAAGTCTGAAGTACAGACATCCTATTTTGAACAAAATGCTGTTCACTATGTGTTTATTAACATCATCTTATAGATTCTTGAATGTTAATTCTTCCTATTATACTATCTGTATATATAGACAAACGTACTGGCACCCTTTTGTCTGAATTTAGGTTAATTCTCTAAACTAGTGTGTTAGGATGAATGAGTTTTCAATGAACTCATAATTCTTGCAAAGCTCGTATCGAATAACACGCGACTAATAAATACAGTTTAATAGACGTCCATTTCCAGAAAGGTACTTATGCCTGATAAGAGCTGTGGAAGCCCAGAGCTCATCCCAGAGGTCTACACCCTGGACGAGACAGTACACAAAGACAATTTCAAGACACCACTTCACCCAGCCATATGCTAGGTTACATATATGTTGCATGGAAGGACAGCCCATTGAGTAAGAACACGCAAATTCCACACATAAGGTGTCCCAGCCCCAAATTGAACCCAGGACCCAAGAGCTCCCTGGCTGTTTCACTAAGCTCCAATCCATGCAGTGCTTCATAAACAACATTCATTACAAAAACGTAATATGTATTCTTGAAAAACACAGTTAGTGGTGAAGTGTGCTACATGTGTTGTACAATTTGAAACTATAGAGATATTATGAGTATTGGACTTAAAAGGTATTCAGTTTTTTATTTGAAAGCCTATAGCCCATTTCTGGATTTGAAGTGTCAATAATAATTTTAGAAATGAATTGGTCATTCATTGGGTTCTTAGTAAGTCAGTGAGTCAGTGGTGATGACTCTGCAATCCTAATATGAGCATTGCTGGTAGTACAGCTTTTGTCCTGTGCTGTAGCGGTACCATGGAAGTCTTGACCAATATCAGTCAAAAGTTAAACCTGATTTTAAATAACTGTAGAGTTTTGAATGACAGTTTTTTTCCCCCTTCTTTGTGCCCTTAATAATATTAATATATTGTCAAAAAGATTTTAACTGCAAGTATGATTTAAAAAAATGGCACACTCTTCCTTATAACACCAGCGTGTGTTTCCTCTGTTGAGGTGGGTCTTGTAATTCTAGTTGCAGGGGAAGGCGACTGGGATATTGAATCCAGTGGCTCAGTGTTGAGGCACAGCCAGAGGTCAGCCGGCCATGAGCTCCAAAGGAGAGAGACGGAGCAGAACAACAACCTCCGCCAGGGCAAGGAAGGAACTATCTTCGGTGCTAACAGAGGCATGGAAAGGGAAAAGAAAACAAACGCGTCCTGTGAGTCCCTCTTGCGCCTGTCACAACAATACATGCTGGCCAAAGCTTTCAGAAAAACTCTGGCTCTGGATCTGCTGCCCCCATTGAGCTGTGAGGAGTGGCTCTCTGCACACCACAACCCGGTTAACCCTCTGAAACGCGCTCCACTGGCTGACAAGCCGTGGCTTTTTCAGCAGGCCTTGCTCTTCCTGAGGGAAGGAGGCAGGCGGACTTCAGCCCAACAGGCTGAAGTGTTTCCTGCTCTGCAGAAACAACTCATTCAAAGTCCATACAAGCCCTCCTTGAGGCCGATCTTCAAAAACGATGGTAGGTACCTATCTGTCTGAGGAACGTTACACATTTATACACACCCTTCATGAACTGTTCTAATAGAATAAGCAAAGACACCGCAGGTATGCATCAAGATATTCCAATTGTTATGAATCAAATATTTGTTGTAAAAATGTAAGAAAATGAATAGTTCGAAAATAATTGCACACCCAGTGCCTCGCTAAGGTATTCAGACACTTGCTCATTTTTCACTTTTTGTTGCTTTAAAACTGGCAGTCATGACCAGTTTCCATCCATCCATTTTCAGGGTTGAAGGGCAGCAAGAGTTTTCTAGCCAACTAACGGGCACATGGTGGGGTACTCCCTGATTATGATGCCTGTCCAGCGCAGGGCACACACAGACACAAACATGTTCAAACTAGGGCCAGTTTGTGCAGAAGCCAATTAACCTACCACGGTGTCTTTGGACTGTGGAGGGAAACCAGAGCACCCAGAGGAAACCCACGGGACCATGGGGAGAACATACTGTACGAGTTCCACATAGAAAGCTCTGCAGGAATTAAAGGTGTGAGGCAGCAATGCTAACCATTGCAACACTGTGTCGCTGTCATGACACTTTGAGGTAGAAATTAATATTTTATATATACAACATACTCCACACATTCAAAGAAAAAAGAAGTAAATAATTAATATGAAAAAAATGCCTGTGGATTGGTTAAATGCATTAAGGTGCACAAAATATCCTTAATGTGTCACACAATTACTTGAGTGCAACCTGTCTGTGTGCACTAATAGTGGTTCACATGATTTGTAAGGACCAGTGTCAGGTACCCCATTTCAGAGTCAACCATGAATACCAAGGTGGTTCATAAAACAGCATTATGTTATGGGGTGGCTTCTCACCAGCAGGGAATGGGGATGAGGGGAAATGGAGCAAAATAGGCAAATTTTAGAGGAAAACCTTGAGCCTTTTCGGCTGGAGAATGACCCAAAACACTTGGCCAAAGCAACACTGAGGACAATGTCCATGAGTGGCTCAAAATCGTGACTTGAATTATATTATATGGAAACACTTTAAACCTGCTGTCTATAAGAGATCCTGAAACAACCTGAAGGAGCTTGAGCACATTTTTACCACCAGTAATTGGTAAAAAATTGAACCAAGTCAGTGTGCAAAGTTGGTACTTACCCATAAAGACTTTTCAGCTGTTATTGCTGCCAGAGATGCTTCTAATAAATGTTAAGTTAATACAGTAGGTCTGCATACTTATACTATCAACACATTTCAGCTTTTTCTCTTAGGTTTTGCTGACACTTTACTGAAGTGATAAGTAAGGATATTTTTTTTTACGCTTGGATGTCTTTAGTTTGAGCATTCAGGTTTTGAATATTTTAACTTTACAAAAATGTATGGATCATTCTGTTATCTCACAAAATAGGATACCACAGAAGCAGTCTAAATATTTCTGCAAGGCACTGTATTTCAGTGTTCAGTTTTATTTGTACACTGTAAGTGTTCAAAATAAATGCTGTAAAACTAATCCTCTAATGTTTTTAGTCTTCTGATAGTTTCACAAAGCCTCAGAAAATGTATAGAAGCTTCTGGAATTTATCTATATTGCCACTGGGTATTAAAAGGAGGATGAACACATTTCATTGTGAAGCAAAATACTTCACAACTGTGTCATGTTGGGGGAATTGTCAGAGAACTAATCTGTCTGAAGATCTAAGGTAAAATATTATTCACCTCAATAACTCTGGTGTTGGCTAAAGAAATCCATATGACATCCCAGTTTTGACTAAGGTTTCCATCATCTAGATGTTATAGGCTAAAGAAATGTTTGTTAACCCACCAAGAAGGGGATATAAGAAAGTTATACCCAATTGAGTGGACAAAAATTGGTTTGAGCGAATAACTAGCTCTCAGCCGGACCAAAAAAATGAATGTTATCCCTTTCATGGTATTGGTGTTTTTGTTAGAATTGAGGAACAGTTTACCAGAATATTTTTGCCACGAACTGATACCTTTTCTACAGCATGCATCAAGCTCAGTGACACAAAAGTTGAAGGTACTTGAAAGTTAATGATCTAGACTGTCTAGCACAGAACATTTATGGTCTGATGTGAAGAAAGCAGAATACAGATTAAAGATTATAGATAACGTGCAAACTTTGCAACTTGATGAAGGTAGACATGTTCTGTAAGGAGACATGATTGATTGTTCCTCATGATTAGTTGAAGAACCCATTAGACAGCAACAGGAAGCTCCTCTTCAAGGTTATCAGAGCTACGGGAGAGTTTGCAAATACTGATTGCTGGAGTATTCATAAAGTTGATCATGATTTTAGAAATAGAACTAGTTTTGACAAATTATTTCTTTTTACAAACCATATTGAAAATCATTCAAATCTTCATATTTAGATGTGTTTTTCTATGAAATAATATTGATTCTACCTAGTTTGCCTTGACAAATGAACTTTTAGGCACAGTTCATAAAGGGGATGAATGAATTTGGATTTGGAAACTTCTCTGGCATTCTAAACAGCAAGTGCAACTGAATTAAAATGACTGAAATTTGCCCACGAAATTCACATAATTAGCACTTTTTTAATTCAAATTATTTAACTTTTTATTTTTTCAATATAGAAATGTTTGGACCCAATTACATAACAACTAAAGCACATTTTTGTAAAAGTCTTTCTCACACTGGCACAAATTCATACCATTTGTACAAATAGAACTGGAATTTGGATAAATAAGCAAAGGGAATATAAATATACTTTCTTTGAGAATGCAGAAAGGAAGATGTTTACCTGTCTGTCCCAGCCAATAGAAGCAAAGGCCAGCATTTCTGCTGGGGCAGTCCAGTTCCAGGAAAAACAATGCTAATTCCAGATGTAAGCACTTTGGTAAATAATCTCATAGTCCTCAGATCAGTTCACTGTCATTTTCTATCTGTTTCATTTCTGATTTTCATAAATACATTATTGTTTGCTGTTATTGTTGTTAAATGCATATTAGCTACAACCTGCATTGGCTTCACTTTACACATTTTTAAGAAGATCCATGACTAAGGTAGTGTATCATGCCAGATTGCCTCTGAGCTTTGTGCTGTTAGGTTACCTTGCTATCCTTGGTTACCTCGCTCGATTACTTGTTAAATTACACACAGGCAGCCCAGGCTACTGTGGCATACAGGCACAGCCTGCGGCTTCAGCAGGCTGTGAACATTAACTGTGTTTTATGTTTGGGGCTGGAGGCTTTTGTTCACCTGCGGGTTTTGGGTACAATCAGGTTTAGAGGCAGCGTTGTCTTTTGAGTGAATGTGAAACTCTAAAAGAAAACTATAATGCAGTGCAGAAAAATTCCAACACACGATGTGTCCTATTTAGGAGCTTAAAAATAAGGAACTACATTAAAATACGTTTCCATAATGAGAAGAGAAAACACTTCTACTTGCCTTTAACTGAGTTCCAGTTCTACAGAGTGAATTGATTAAGAGGCTGTCTTAGCCTGAAACTGCCAGGCATGTAAAACGACAGTCTGGCAGGTGAGATGAAATAGGATGCCAATAAACACACCAGCAGTGCTCCTGGTGCAAAGAAACTAATCAGGACTGTCAGGGATTGTCTAAAACCTGGCATATGTCCCAGCAGACCAAGTGACCAGACACAACAAGTAGATAATAAATGAAATTATAGCAGGTAGGTCGCATACAAATTTGCACGGGCTAGACAGAGACGAACAAAGCTTAAGACACCTGCATTCTTTGAAACACAAGCTACTGTATCCATTTTTAATACATGGATTTTAATACAAACACAGATGAAACTACATGGAAGTGCATTTCTAACTAAGAGCTGCACTAGGCACATCTTTATGCAAACAGTTGTGGGAGTGTGAAACAAGCTACCCAGTCATATTGTTGAAACCAAAACCCTGGCTTTCATTAAGAAATGGGTAGATGACTGAAATGGCTGAGATCCTCAGATCAATAAGATACTAACTACCACACAGGCTACATGTGCCAAATGGTCTCCTCTCATGGGTGACTGTATTTTATTCTGTACAGAATTATAATGGGCAAATCCTCTTAAAACACAAAGGGGAGTTTAGCTTAGCCATTGCAGTACTTTAGTGAAACGCCTTGAAGTACACCAGAATTGTTACTTTAGGATCTAGATCTGCATCCAGATCCAGAAATAGGACACGTTTGTGCCATTCATTGTTTTTAATACTTGAGGTATTCTTTAGGTTACGGTGTCAAGAAAAGGTTTCTGAATCACTTAGGATTTTCACATTTGAAACCTGAAATGTTATGAGATCTTATCTAAATCTTAATAATAAATAAATTTAACCTGATGAAACAAATGACACAAACCATGACACAATTTCAACATTTATATATATCTTCAAATGATGGAACATTCAATATCTATGTGTGCCAATGTTTGTAAACCTTTCGATTCAGTATCTGGTGGCACCCTGTTGAGCAGCATTGACTGTAACTGAAACATTCCTGTAGCTGTTGATCAGTCTCTGATATCATTTTTGAGGAATTTCAGCCCTTTCCTGCTTACAGAACTCCTTCAGCTCTGTTACATTTGAGTACCACTTTGCATGGACAGCTGTCTTCAGGGCCTGCCACAGCATTTCGATGGGGGTTAGGTCCAGATTTTGACTAGGCTGTTAAGAAATGGGGATTTTCTTCTTCTGCAGCCATTCTTTTGTAGATCTGCCTGTATATTTAGGATCATTGTCTTACTGCAAGACCCTCTTTCATTTCAGCTTCAGGTCACAGATGGATGACCTGAGATTCTCTTCTAGAATCTTTTGATACAATACAGACTCATGGCTGTATCAATGATATCAAGGCTTCCAGCTAAGCAGCCCCAAACCAGCACACTTGTACCACTATGCTTGAGGGTAGGGATACGTTCTTCAGTCTGAAAGCAGTGTTTTGTTATTGTGAAACATCGTGTTTCTCATTGAAACCAAAGAGTTCTGCTTTTGACTCTGTCCATAAAAAAGCATTGTGGATCACCTGCGTGCTCTTTTGCAAATGTTAGACAGATAGCAATGTTCTTTCTGGATAACAGTGACTTTCTCCTTGTTATCCTTCCATAAACATCATTCTGTTTCAGTCTTTTTTTGATATGTGAGTCCCGAACAGTCACATAATACGAGAGTGGCCTGCAGTTCCCTGGATGTTACCCTGTGGTTTTTTCTAACTTCCTTGATGATTTTCTGGTTTGTTCGTAGAGAGATTTTGGTAGGACAACCGCTCCTAGGTAGAGCCCTGTGGTCTTGAACTTTCTCCATTTGTAGTCTATCTGTTGCACAGTAGAATGGTGAATTTCCAAATTCCTAGAAATGTTTTTGTGACATTTTCCAGGCTGATGAGCATCAATATCTCTTTTTCTGAGGTCCTCACATATTTCCTTAGATCATGGAATGACTTGTTTCCACACACCTGTATGGTGAAGACCAAACTCATGTTTCTGATCTTTATGTAGGGTGGGGTCTTACAGCCTCAGCCCCCAAGATCTACCTTGTTATTTAAACACCTGATAGTAAAGTCTCAGGAAAAGCTCTGGGGATATACAGCAAGTGGACAAGATGACTACAGGAATGTATTACTTCTGGTGACCTCAAAGTTTCAGCTCTTAGGGCAGCTAGAAGTTCAGCTCAGACTCAACTGCTGACCACCCCCTTATCTCATCAAAAAGTGGAGGAGGCTCAAATCCTCATTTTGTTGGGTCCCTGCAGGCACCTTTCAATTAGCACCTGATTCAGACATGACTTTATATCGTACCCAATTAATTAGTTATGTTAGGTTATAAAGCTATGGGATTTAATAAAATCAGAAATTAATACAGAACTTAAGGGGTTGACTCCCACGGCCAAGATGATAAGCTGAAAGAATTACCTCATCACTGTTGGGTTTTTCAACCACATAATTACCAATCACACAAACTACCTCAGGCTACTGCTTGAGAACACATCAGCCAACTGAAGGAATTGTAGGAATTGCTGAAGGAATTGCTTCTCTGAAGGAATAGTGGACAGTTTTATGAATGTATCAGATTCAATTTAAGTACAACATCATCTCTTGCCCTTTCAGGCACATGCAGAAACAACTGTTAATAGCCTAATTTTTTTCTATGATTAAACAAATTATGCTATGGTTTATGTTGCAGAAAAATCTGCATTTCAGTAATACATAGAATGTGTAGACCTCAGCTCTAGGTTACAGTTGATTAGTGGAAATATATGTGTATTCCATGTGATATATTAATTTTCCAGCTACTGATATATTTTATCATAGACAAACTCAGATTACAAAGCTTCTCTTAGGTGATCATCTATTCCAGGTGATGTGCCTAGTGAAGCAGAATCGATTCTAATTTGTGCTGTCATTATTTTTTTTTATTTAAGAAGCACAGTTTTTATCCTTGAGCTAAGATTACACTCAAAAGATACATGTCTTGCAGCTGTACTGAATTCTGATCAGAATGGACTCATGGGGCTACGTGGAGAAGGCTTTGCTCCATTAGCCATTTACTTTTCTTGTGTTTGTTAATCCTCTATTTTCTTATCATCTGAAAGCACAACTGGTTTACTTGCTGTACACGAATCTAGATTTTCTGGTCAATTAATCTTGTCTTCATTGACTGTCGCCTGAATTCTGTTAATGGTATATGAATAACATCAGCTCACACCTGAAGAACGAAACGTTGTTTTCTTTCTTATCTTTTCAGCATGGAATAAACCTTTTACTTGTTCCTTATGAATAACATCTCTTTTTTCCTTAAATACAATTTCTAGAATACCATCAGGCCATCAGGACTGGTTAATCTCAAGTGTTCCTAGTACCTGTGTGTCTTCCACTTTTTTGCTAATGCAGTCTAATACAGGACTTTATCTTTGTTCAGTCTGGGCCATATTGTCTTCACTGGCATATATTTGAGTGAAACATTTATTTAACACATTAGCCTTCATCTTTTCATCATGTAGAGGTTACCCATTATTATCTCTTTTACAGATCTCCTTTACAAATGTTTTCTAATACTGAAACAACTTCATTATACTGTATGTTCTTGGCCTTCACCTTATCCTTTTGACCTGTTTTTACTATTTCTTGTCCTCCAGTTCTTTAACTTTTAAAATAATGCCATGAGTTTTCCCCTTTTCCTTGTTTCTCTTTTCCCTCTCTTCTGTATATTATTTTCCTGATTAATTTATTAAACCATTTGGGCCACTGCATTCTAGCCTTTGATTTTCTTACTCTTGGAACAAAACTGTTGTGTATTTGACATTGAATACCTTTAAAGTGTTGCTATCCATTCTCCACTGATTCCACAGCTATCCTGTGACTTTTAAATTCTTTTAAACAGTTTGATTTAAACAGTTTGATTCCTTTAGAGTCATACAATGAAATTGTAAACAGTAGTAAAGCATCCCACATTATGGTCACTTTCCCGAGTGGTTCTCTGTCCTGTTGTCCTCACTCTGTATTGCTTATTGGAAAATCCCCTCTCAATAGAAGCAATCCCTCTAGGAACTGCTCTGACAAGCTGAGTAAGACAGTAGTCACGTCTGCTAGCACAGCTTCGTTTTGTGACATCCTTAATAATTACTCCCCCAATATATCTTCAATATAATTCAAGAAAAATGAAAATCTCCCATTATAACAACATTTTCCTTTACACACACATTTCTGATTTCATTATATAGGACTGCATAAAAAGAAACTGAATGTGGTGGTCTATAACATACTCCTCACACTGTGCCCCGTGAAGGTTTTTTTTGTGTGTCTGACACACATGAATTTGAAAACCTTTGACTGCTCTAGGCTATGTTACAGTGCATGAAACCTCTTTTTGATATACAGTACAGTATAGTGCTGTCCTTCCTTTTGTTTTGACAATGTTATAATGCACTTACTGCATTGTTGTGGTAAACAATGACTACAACCTTTGCCCACAAGGCTCACTGGATTCAGTTAGCTATCCCCAAAAAAGTCACCTCCTTACCACACATTTTCGCCACCAGCACAAATATGAATATTGTACCCTCTACAGAATCAGAGCTAAAAGCATTGCATGATGACCTTCAAATGCAGTTTGAAGTTTCAAATAAACAATAAAACATTCGGAACATCTCACTTATAATGCAATCTGTGTACATCTGTCTAGAATGTAAGGCAGTATCACTGTGCTATGGAATGCCATTGCGTCACTAAATAATCTACCAATTTAAACCACCATGATTACTTCTTACCGGCTCCCTCACCCTCTCCTGTTTAAATAAGACAACACGCTCAAGGTCCTAGTCGGATCTACATTTATGATAAGGGCGGCCTCTATGGGTCATAACTGGAATTTTATCCCTATTTGTATTTTAAATTACTGTACAGTACATACAGTTGTACCATGTCGTAAAACTATCTTCTATATAATATTTGAAACAAAACTTACTTAAGGATATTATTACAAGTATTTCTTTTTAAATCATTTTCAGAAGATTGACTCAGATGCACTAGAGCGGATTCAGAGAACGTCACTATATGTTTCACTATATTAAAAACAATGATAAAAAAATCTATTGTACTATTTCATGTGGAAATTAACAGCTAATCTGATATGAGCTGCAGTCTTATTCCATAGCGACCATTTTAATCACCGAATAAAATGTCATAACCTGTAAGACTTCTGTATTCCAGCCTGTTCATTAGAAACAGGTGCTGACTCAGAACTGGAAAGACTACGTTTCTTTCCTTGATTAATTGAAGGAAAATTACCTGGACTGAGAAATGAACTAACATGCGTGTTACCTTCTCAGCAAATTAACAATAACAAGAATCCTAATTTGTCAGAACCGAAAGAACTAAGTGAGTAATATGAGATTAGCACATTGAAGTTCAAAGAAAGAATTTAGAATAACGACAATCATAAAAGCTGTCTTTGATATTTTATGAACGTTTGAACTTTCAAACACTGCAATTCTGTTTTCAAAACACACAGAGCCAATATACCGAATCCGAACGAATAAAAACGCATTTCAGGATTTTCCTGTCAATTGTTGTACGTTTGGACTTTTAACAGTATGTGATTTATTATCAGGATTCGCGAAACATAAAAAGATCATAGGTATTTTTACACGAGGGGTAACATATAATTATTAAAATCATGGATCAGTAGCGTATCAAGGTCAGATATACAGCTGTATTCAGTACTGTGGTAAATTTCAACCTTAGATTCAGAGCAATAATGAACTTGAATCAATTGGGATAGCTCTGTACTCTGTTGATAAGTAACTATAGCGTAATGTTCCCCGCGTCTTCAGTGATCAGGCAAACACTTGAATACTGAACCCGTAATATATTCTTTGCGATTAAAAAACCCCTGTGTTTTTCAAACTAAAAGAAAAACTTGGTAATCAGCGATTTTGGTGGTTGTGAAGATGAACACAATTCTGACTTTAATTGTATAAATTTCATGTTAGCAGATTTGTACTAAACCGTGAAGATACTGTACGTAGCCGTCGTAGAGATGTCGGTAAATTGCAAAGTGATAAACAGCACTGAAGTCCATGTAGGAATTCGCCGTTAGTTCATAGGTATTCAGCTATTTGTTGTTAGAAGGCACCGTCTTGATGTATTTGTTATTTCGTGGATAGCTGGTTACACTTCATGAACAACTTTGTGCTCTTCTGCATGACAACCGTTCTACACCTTTCTGTGCATTCGGTCTTTGTAGCCTTGTAAAGACAAAGTGCTTATTACACTAAATTAGGGGTAAAGACAGAAATATGCTCAGTATGAGGAACACCCCGCTGGCCAATCGGCGCGCGGCGGGGAGGAGGTTCTCTCCCGGCTGTTGTAAACAGAGTCTGTCCCTGTGCCAACCTGGAGCGGGGAGATCAGTATAAATAAGAGGACCTGCGCTCAGTCCTTACAAAAAGAGCTTCCCAGTCTCAGTCTCTTTATATTGCAACTAGAACGGAACAAGACAACCCGTATTTTGAAAAGTCGACGTAGGTTTGGTTGGAGTCCTTGTCCCTTTTTTTTTTTTGGATTTGAAGCAACTCAAGTAACATCTATCTTTTCGCATCGCCCCGGCAAGCGGTGCGCTCTTGGTCTCAGAGCCACAGGTGTACAGTATTTACAAGAAGAGAAGAATTGTGACATTTTGTCGGTGCCCTGGACAGTACAGGAGGGAGGCTCCGCTGTCTCGGTAAGAAAGCGGGAGAGGTGCAAGTGTTTGTGTTTAAGTGCAGAATGGTTCATTTACCAGGTGTGCCTTAACGTGAACGTGGTTATCTAAACTGCTCTCTTTCTATCCAGGCTGTTCTGTCACTGATGGTATTGTTACTGTATAGTCGTGTAAAACACTGATAGATGCAGTAACGCTGCCTTGTCATGATCACTGTTACATCAAACAAAATGCATATACGCCGTCGAATGGGTTAAGGTTTGCAAGTATTATGAATGAATGATTAAAAAAAAGAATGTTACTTTTCTGTGGAAGTGTAATTTGAGGTTAAGGTTTCGCTCGGGGTTTCGTGGCAACATCTTACGTTGTGTGTCGGGGACAAGTTCCAAATAGGAAATGCTCTGTGGTCGCAACTGTGCTTTGAAAATACTGTTCAATACTGACGTTTCGCGTGATTGTTTTGGACAGTTTTGAGGTTCCCCTCCTACTTCGTTTAAACGCAATATTTTGTCCGATCGTGACTCAACACGTATGTAGTCCTGCCTCCAGTTCTCCGGGGGGCATTTTCTTGCGCCGCTGAACCGGTACAGTACAGGCGCGCGCCTGATTGCCCCCAAGCTACGGGGGCATCAAGTGCAGGGCTCTAGAGCAGCCAGCAAGCCCAGCCAGCAACGTGGAGCGAAAAACTTCAGAGTGCATGTCCGAAGGTTTGTATGTTACCTTATATTTTTTGCTATTTGATTCAATGCAAGCACCGAACAGCACAGTATAGTATTAATTGAGGAGTTTGTTTCAGACAGATGCCCCGATAAGAACCCTTATCTGCTGAGTTGGCGCCCTGGACATGACGGAAGCAGGAAAGTTGTGATTGGAGCTGGTTTATTCCTTAAATTGGAATCTTCTGCCACTGTCCACTCTATTGTGATAGAGGGTGGAGGTAAGTCTGGGCAGTTTTGTTTGTGCTTTCTTATTCTTAAAAATGAAGCAAAGATCTGAATCACGTTTAATGTTCTGTCTGCATGCCATCAGGGGCTAGGTATGAATACAGTATATTACACTGAAACAATACAGCTTATGTATTTCCTGGTATCAATTCAAACACCAGGTCATTTGTTTATTTATTTAAGGGGTACTGGTGTTTGCTGACAACCCAGAAGACAGTATCATTCTGAGAACAAGGTACATTCTCATTAGGGATGGTGGCGTGTTGCACATTGGTTCAGAAAAGTGTCCCTACAATGGTTCTGCCACTATTTCCCTGTACGGGATGTCTACAGAAGGCTTGACTGTTGAGAACTTCGGTGGGAAGTTCATCGGAGTTGACAAGGGTGGAACACTGGAGATGCATGGGAAAAAACCTCTTTCATGGACTTTATTGGCAAGAACACTGCACCCAATGGGTCTGCAACACGGCCCGTATCAATTTGAGAGGTACTGGGGAAGCAGGGGTATAAATGTCAGGGTGGTGGATGATGGAACGGGTCAAGTCTTGTCTTCCGAGCGCTTCGACACTCACATGATGGCGAACGAAAGCAGAAGACTGAAGGAGTTCCTCAGTAACCAGCCTGCGGGAGTGATTCTGGCAATGGCAGTAGGAGACTCTGCTGCCAAGAGCTTGTCCCTTGAGGCCAGGGAATACATCCTTGAAGTTTTGGGAAGTAAATTCATTAAGCACCTCGGGTACAGGTAAGGCTGAAAATTTCTCTTTTGTTCCTTGGTGATTTGCCCTCTTCAGTAACCAGATGCATTTACTGATGCATTTTTTTTTTTTGTCTGAGTTCAAATCAGATTTGGATTATTGGAAAAAACTAATCATTAGTGAATAAGAAAAGTAGTCTCTATGTCTTGTGTACTCATGTGGCTTGTTTTCACTTTACCATGGACAGCTCCATGTTAGTAAAATGGTTTCTTCAAATGCATGCTTCATTTCCCACCGTGTGCTATAAAGCTGAAATAAGCGAAGGGATCCCTGGCTGTTTAAGCAGAAAAAAACTATCTCACGAAAATGAATAATAGACAAGGGCTTTATAAGACAGAAACCTGTGCAAGGGCTTTTTAAATTGAAAACAGTTAACAAGAAGATTTTATCATGTAAAAACAAGAGAGGTTTCCTATCTCCTACTGAGTAAAAACCTGATTAATTCAAGTAATTTTGTGTGTTTTCTACATTTTTGCAAATACCTTCCAGGCTGATCTAAAATAAATACTTCCCTTCTGGTTGTTTTCTTGATCTCTTCTGTGAGCTGGTGCATTTCTTTGCTGGCACTGTATTATGCACCTGCCTTCAGATTCCGCAAATAATGGTACGTTTCTTTTGTGCAAGAACAGGGCCCTGTGCCAGCAGTGTTCCAGACTTCTCCCTTATAAAAACAATGACAATCTCGTTTGCCAGGATGTACTGTATAGCTGAAGTCAGGAAGCCATACATATATTTAACAATGCAAATCACAGGGTTTACTGTTCTCCTGTGAGCCTGCCTGTCAGTGAGCTGGATGGGATCGTGGTGAAATAATAACCCACTAGCCTTCTGGTCAGCCTGCCTTGATCCAATATTTGCAGAGGCCATTCATCAGTGAGGTGACCATGTCTTTGTCCAGCCTGTACATTTGTGTTTCATGGGAAGTAAAGACGCAGAGAGTGCTGAATGTCATTTCTTTCCCTTAGGCAGCCCTGGGCACTAGTAGGTACACTTCGAGGGGGGCCTTTCTCAACGACAGAGAACCGGAGGCCCTATACAATGAGTGGAACCACTGGTGCTGCTATAGCTAGGAGAGAATTTCAGACATATGATGGGACTCGCTTCACAGTCACTGCCTATAGTGAATGGGTAAAAGGTTTAGTGTCCCTGTTCTATTGGAATATGACATTTTATGTTTGCTTGCCTGCAATTGTCAGAAAACTTATCAGATCAAGCTATATATTTTTTTCATGCTATATTAGATAAAGATCTTTGTTGTTTTATCTTAATAGTTAATTTGCTCTGAAAACCAGCAGTGCAGATGATAAACAGCTAAGAATCAGTTGTGCAAGAGAAAGGGACAATGACAAATGGAGTCATTCTCAACAACCCTGACACTGAGTTACAGTTATCTGCCTTCAAGGAAGCAGCATTATGGCAGTACTGCTAAATTGGCAGAGGTTAGAGCCAGTTGTACAAACTTCTGAGAGACTTTGTGTTAAATAACACTTTTATATTTATACTTCTTTTATTCAGGTTCACCTCACATAGGGTTTAAAGTGGAAGCTCTGAAAGGTATTGTTGTAGACTTGGTGGATGATGTCACAAGCTGGGTACCTGGGGACAGAATAGTGATTGCCAGTACAGATTATTCCATGCACCAGGCAGAAGAGTTCAGTCTTCTTCCCTGTCCAGAGTGCAAAACCAACCAGGTGAAAATTGATGGTATGCATTTACCTGCTTTTCACTACTTTTAAATCTGATTGCAGCACACTGAGGTTCACCATTTCATTTTTTGAAAAGCCTCTAATGCATAAATTCCTCCCTTCTGAAGTCTCTAACCTATTATCTTCCAGTATTTAAGTCAAAAAGCTTTACAGTATGTAAGGTGTAAATTCTTAGGTTTGACCCTGGTCTTCTGTGTCTTATTTCTGGCTCAGCTATGGGTGATTAAGCTGACAGTCTGACTCATCCAAGCCTTTTTATAACTGTTTCAGCTGAAAACAAAATGATTAAGATGGTGTGCTTGAACACATTATTGTTCCAGTTAAAATTCTGATTAAGTCACTGACGATTGTGACAATTCTGAGAACTGGGTTGAAAACATCTGATCTAATTGATAGATTATTATTAATGATAGTCCATATCTTTGCTAGAACTGGATTATTGATCTGGGAACCTCAGATGTAACCCAGTTTGGCAGCTGAACATGTCAAAACTGTCAAATAATCAAGTGTTTTGTCTCTTTCTTTATTGCTTTCTGTACATCCCTCGTTGTCATTTATCACTGCCTGGGCACAGCTGTCTAATACAGTGTCCTGCAGGTCTCTCTTACCTCCATCATGTGTTCCAGCTGTGCCCCCTCAGCCAAAGCCATTCAGTGGGAGAAACTACTGTAAATGGATCTGATCACTAAAGATGAAGAGCTTTTGCTCAGTCCTTATGGTTTTGTTTTCAGTGACTTGCATATCTCTTTCACCAGGCAGCACTGTGGCACAGTGGTTACCTTTGCTGCCTCGCAGCGCTGGGGCTCTGGGCTCATTTCCCGGAGTGCTATCTGCGGTGTTTGTATGTTCTACATGTGTTTGCATTGGTTTCCACTGGGTACTCCGAGTTCCTCCCACAGTCCAAGACATACTGGTAGGTCAATTGGCTTTCGTCAAATTGACCCTAGCATGAGTGCAAAGTTTGTGTCCCATGCAATGGACTAGCATCCCATCCAGGGTAGGATACCTTTGTGCCCAGTGCTTCCCAGGATAGGCTTTGGGTTGTGACCCTGAACTGGATAAGTATTTAATGGATCTCTTTCACCAAATATAAGCCCTACAACCTCTCACAGATGCTTTTTCTAGGATGTATGCTTGCATCAGGTACTGGAGATCCCTTAGCAATGGAGAATGCCGTTCAGTTAGAAATTATGCCCATTTCATGAGAGTTGCCTCTAATGTGACATGCTATGTTTTTTGACAGGGAAACCTCGTTATCTTCACATGGGAGAAATCGTAGATGGGATTGATATGAGGGCAGAAGTTGGGCTCTTGAGCAGAAATATTATTGTTAAAAGTGAAATGGAAAGCTCCTGCTATGGTGAAAATCACTGTGATATTTTTAACTATGATACGTTTGGAGGACATATTAAGGTAAGTCTACTGTGAATAATGAATAGCTGTCAATAAAACAACCATGTTTCCTATTAAAAGTAATTTACACTACATTAAAAAAGAAGCAAGTTATTACTTAAATATGTATTGATATGTCTCAAGGCCACATCTAATCACAAACCTGCATTTTCAAGAAGCTCATAAGTGTTGTACTTGGTATGCAATTGGCAATTGTTGTTTCACACCTTCAGAAATTAATTATTTGCAAAGTTTCACAAATGAAAATATCAGTAAGCAAAATGGAACAAGATAAGTTCCTGATTCTGTAATTTTTCTTGCCTAAAAACTCTTAATGCAAATCTCTAAAATTCCCTGAAGATGAAGCTGTTTTTCCTTTTAAGAAATAAGAACAGATTGAGTTGTCTAGATAACCATCACAGACGGTGTAATTCATCAGCTGTCAAAGTCACTGCACATCTCAGCTGCAACCTGTGTTAGTAAGAGACAAAGGATGCAAACATAAGGGAAAGCATCTTTGGTTTACTAAGTAAATCCTGGGAACTTTTAATAAGTCTGGTTATTTCTCAAATTGAAAAGCCTTTGTTATTCCTTGTCAACAGAAACAAGAGCTTCATACTTAGGGACCTAGAGAGTGGTTTAAACCAATTGCACAAAAGAAAAACTGTATTCACTCAATTTTGTCTCAGTAGATCCAGAAGGGCTTCAGGTCTTTTCACCTGTCAGGAGTGGAGCTCACCGCCATGGGTCAGCAGAACCTGGGAAGCTATCCTGTGCACTTCCACCTGGCTGGAGATGTCGATCAAAGAGGGGGTTACCATCCCCCAACTTCCCTGGAGAACCTGTCGATCCACCATGGCTTCTCCCGATGTGTGACTGTGCATGCCACTCATGGCTTGCTTGTGGGTTCCTAACTTGCTTATTGCTTAATGATGCACAAGGCATTCAGGAAAGGGATGGTGATTATATTTGTAACTTTCGCTAGCAATATTTTAGATCAGCGGGCTACAAATTTCCTGGAGGGCCTGGTATTCTCTGGTTTCCCTTCCAGCCTGAGTAGTCAATTAAACCAATAATCTGTCTTTCCATAAATTAGTCCTATATTGTTTTTTACTTAAGGTATTTTACATATTGCATTCACTTACAATTACCTATAAATCCCCTTAGAACCTTGTTAGAAGTATTACAGGTATGCAGATATTAAATATTTAGACCAACTATGGTACTGAGAATGTGGCTGAAAGAAAAACCAGAAGACACTAAGGTCTCCAGGATCTGAGTTTGAGACTCCTGAATTAGGTTCTACATGAATGTTTCGAATGCTATAAAATGGGCTTTTTTACTACAAGTTAAAACTTTTTCGATAGGTCTGCTTTGTCTGTTTTGAAAGCAATTACCAGTCTTCTTTTGAAGTTTTGCATTTTTGCTGCCAACCATTGCCCACTGTGACTCTTGGTGTTTCACTATTTGATCTTGAGCTCTTGTGGGCTTGATGCTTTGTTTTTGAGGCACTCCATACACATTCTGTCACAGGGATTGTAGATTAGAGAATATGGTGCCTAGAACCACATTTTATCTTGGTTGACAGTGACAAAACATCCTATATAACTGTTTGAAATTACCCGATTTTTAAAACTGTTCTCTGAAAAGAGGTCTAATAAGCTCCTAGCATTCATACTAATAGTTCTGCCAATTCCATACTTTTTGTTTTTAGTGTGATTATTAATCAGTACTTTATTAAAGATCATGTGTGATTGTACATTTTTGCTACAGTTAAAATATGCTTCCTTTAGAGTCCTGTTTTTCATGGCTTTTTTTTCCACAGGTAAAAGATGTTGTCGCATATGACACCTTAGGCCACTGTTTCTTTCTTGAAGACGGCGTGGAAGAGAGAAACACGTTCTATCATAACCTGGGACTCCTGACAAAGCCAGGGACTATCCTGCCTACCGACAGAGATGAGCCCATGTGCCTAAGGATTCGCAAAAATGTTTTTGGAAACTACAGGCCTGTGCCGAGCACCGACTGCATGTGAGTCTGTGCTGTGCTGCTACAGCAGTTAGTAAATTAGTCGTGGGGTACTAGTTTACAGATATTGAGTAGTCAGGCAGAACAGGATGTAAAGAGACAACTTGCTGAGCTTCAGTTTACAGAAACAAATGACAGCCAGCCCCAGAGCAATCTTCATAAAAAGTAAAGTGGCGTGGTTTCGTTGTGTGTGTGTTTAGTTATTACTGCTTTTATCATAGCGTTTTTTCATTTCCTCTCTAGGGCTGTCAGCACATTTTGGATTGCAAATCCTAATAATAATTTAATTAACAATGCAGCTGCGGGGGCACAGGTATGCTATATTAATTTAAGTTTAAAAATCAGAACAAAAAATATTTTGGTTTTTAACATTCATACGGGCGCATTTCCTCATTTATCAAAACCTGTCCAGTAACAAGACTTAATTTAATGAAGATTTAAAATAATTTAGTGAACCAATGCTGCAATAAAAAAAACAGTACATGATATAATTTTATTTCTGATTATTAAAATTCTGGGGTTAGTTAACCTGTGTTTTTATGTAATGTATACAGGCAAAGCACTAACTTCCTTTATGTGTTTTCTGTGAAGGATGTTGGAATCTGGTACATTTTTCATCGTGTTCCCACTGGACTATCTGAAGGCTTATACCCAGAGGGGAAGACAGAACTGACACCTTTGGGAATATTTTACAACAACAGAGTACACTCTAATTTCAAAGTATGTATCATATTGCGACATTTCCAATTCAAATCTGACTATAGACTACCTCTTTTGAATTATTTTAATTATGTGCTTAAAAGGGTACCATATTTCCAGAAAGTAGATAAAAAATATGTTGTTTTCTAAACATGAGCTTAGTAAATATTTTTAACTTGATAGATTTTAACTTATAATGCTTTGTGCTTCAAGCTATAATGCTACATCCTGTAATTTCAAACTTCTAACTCAGAAAGAGGTGATACACAAAACTCATACTCATTGAGGTTTTGCAAAACTTACTTTTTCACTCCAAAATTGCAGTTTTGATGTATAAAAGAAATTAAGAAAGAAACTAGTGATGCAACATTGAAGTCCTATAGTTCGTCCCAGTGATGTTGCTTCTTTTTACAAAGCTTTCAAAGGCAAGGTGTAATGTCAGGTTTTCATCTGTTTATCTCTAAATTGCAGTGATCATGCTTGCCAAAACTGTTAAAATGGAAGGAATTCGTCTGACAATGGGGTAATAGAGAAAGGTAGACACATTGTTAGGATGATCAAATGATAGTGAAGTATATATTTTTCACAGAATGTGGCGATCTTTATAGCTGTGGTAGGGTAGGTGGTTTTTAGTGTACAGAAAGGTAACATTATGAAGTCCAAGTTTCCTTTAGTAAATTAAAGAGCACATCTGTGGAATAATAAATGTTTTACATTTGGTGTCTAGAGTCCTTTAAGTTAAAGTTTTAATAAGGTTGTTGTTATTCAGCTTCTTCCTTCTAGGTTCAGAGCAGTAGTTCCATCCTTCACGGTCTATCATGTCTATGACTGGAGAAGGAAAGTTTTCTGGGCTGTGAAGCTTGTGTCCTTAACAAGGAGTTCTTTGTTTTCCGCTGTCAGTAGCTGTGAGTCCCTGTGTGTCTGACTGTCTGCAGGCTGGACTCTTCATTGGGAAAGGAGTGAAGACATCCAATGCCAGTGCTGCAAATCCTAGAGAGTATCTCACCATTGATAATGCAAGGTACCATTTCCTGAGTGTGTCACTTAGTATTATCTGGACTTGTATCAAAATACTTGTTTTGCTTTTCTTAATTATTTGTTTTATTCCTGAGCCATTAATGTCCATTACTGTAATGGACTTGTACAGAGACTGCAATATGTTATATTAAGCACATAAGAAGGTTATTTGTATAGTTCCTCTTAAAAGATTATTTTTCAAATTACGGGAGGTCGGCATTCAGTGAATTGTGTGTTTTTGGATAGAAAAAAGGATTAACGGACAGAAAAAGGAGAAAACAGAACAGGGGAGAATGCTCATATATGGTGGTGATGCAATTAGCTAAGTACCACAGGAATCTATACCAGGACCACTGCTCTTCCTAGTTTATATCAGTGATCTAGAGCCAGTTCATAAACTATTACTAAGTTTGCAGACCATACCAAAACAGAAGTATTCAAAATCCTCAAAGGAAATGAAGTCAAAGTCAACCCAGCAGATTTCAGAATCAACAGAGAAATAAGAACTAGAGACGTTGGAACTAAATGAAAATGTATTTAAAACTTCTTTACGCAAAGGCTTGTAGAAGTATGGAACAAGCTACCCAACCATTGTTGAAGTCAGTATCCTGGCTTCCTTAAAGAAAAGGCTGGATGAAATTCTTGGAATCATTAGCTGGTAATTTACAAATGGGCTAAAGTGGCTATCAAAAGTCCCCTTTGGGTTTTGACCCAAAACACTATAATGTTAAAATTAAAAAAATGTACTGATCCTCCTTATTTAATTAGAATATATATAACAGAAAATAAGAGATTGCATAAGTATTCAATCCCTTTGCTTTGACACACTTAGTCTGTGGTGCAATCAGTTGTTTTAGAAGTCACATGCAGTAATTAGTTGAATGGAGTCAACGTTTGAAATTAAGGAGTTCAGGTTGAATACACCTACTGTATCTCAGGGAGGTCCCACAGTTGATTAGTACAACTCCCAACAAAAACGACATCATGAAGACAAAGGAACATTTAAAACTAATTGGGGATAGGATTATTGAAAAGCAGCAGTCAGGGGAAAGAAAATTTCCAAAGCATTAAATATCCCCAAAGCACAGTAAAGTCTATTATAAAGAAATGTAGGAAATATGGCACAACTGTGAATCTCTGCAGAACAGTGTGTCCTGAGTATCTAAGCGAGAAGGGCACTAGTCAGGGAGGCCACCAAGACAGCTCCAAAGGAATTACAGGTTTCCTTGGCCGAGATGGTAGAAACTGCGTACAGTATGACAATGATTGCCCGGGTGCTTTGCAAATCTGGGCTTCATGGGAAAATGGCAAAACAAAAGCCATTGTTGAATAAAACTCACATCTGATCTCAATTACTGTGTGCCAGAAGGCATGCAGGAGACTCTGAGACGAAGTGGAAGACGACAGGTCTGTGGTTGACCTATTTGGCTTCAACACTAAGCACTGTGTTTGTTGCAAGAGTAATGTTGCACATTGTCCTGGGAACACCATCCCTACCGTAAAGCATGATATGGGGATAGTTCACTACATCAAGATGTGAAAGACTTGGGAAGATTGCAGTCTGCAGGAGACCTGGGATTTGGGAGAAGGTTAAGTTTCCAGCAGATCAAGGATCCAAAATGTACAACTTAAGCCACAATGCAGTGTCTTAGAAACAAAAAGCCTAGAACCCGGACCTCAATCCAGTTGAGAATCTGTTCACCATTGGTCTCTGTCCAATTTGAGGGAGTCTTTGCAAAGAAGAATGGACACAAATTGCAGTGTCCAGATTTGCAAAGCTGGACTTGGTAAAGACTTATCCAAGAAGACTCATGACCATGATTTCTCTAAAGGTGTCTCTACCAAATATTGACTTAAGGCGGGTGAATAGTTCTGCAATCAGCTATTTTCTGTTTTCTGTTTAGAATTAATTTAGCGTGATCTGTAGATTTTGTGTTCTCTTTCACAGTATAGAGTTTTTTTGTGTTGATCAATAGCAAAAAAATCCTCTTAAATACATTATGATTCCACATTATGTAATCTGCAATAAAATGTAAGTTTGAGTGAATACTTCTGATAGTCACTGTAGATGGGCTGAATAGCCGTCTTTTGTATCTGTTCTTAAATAACTCACGCCTATGCATTATTCCTGAAGCATTACAACAGCTGTGCTTTAGGTGCCCTGACATGCATTAGCTCACAAAAGAAAAAAATATACACTTTTTTATAGATTCATTGTCATAATGATCATTTAATTAAAGCAGATACCACCTGTAGCTTTAGTGAAACCATTATGCTCTTTATACTGTACATCTCCGCACGAATGTTTAACTCATTCTGAGATGGAAGCATTTTGACGTTGTATTTGAGTTGCATGCCAGTTAAAAACAGATCCCAGGGCATTATCCATTATCATTACCTTCCATCCCACACATGGCACTCACCTAGCCAGCGGTGAAATGTTTCCATTTATTCACCTTTTTATTAATTCTGGTCAGTCTTGTTTCTATACCGTTAGTACTACCCCCTCTGTGGTATTTGAAGGCGTAACAGTCAGATTGATTGCATTCCCCAGTGCAATCAAATTATTCATTCGGAAAAAAACATCGAATGAAATACTAGACACAAATGCATTATGCAAATGTAAAAGCACATATGAGAGTTTTTAATCATCTGCTTATAGCAATAATTTACCACTTCCAGTGTTTAAAAAAATGTTTCTCTCTGTCTCCATGAAATGGCTTTTAAAGAGCTCACATGCTGTTTAGAAAAATAATTGTTTTGGCGGAGGCAAGGGTTTTCTTCTCATTAAGGCAAAATAAACTCATTTAAAATGTTTTTGCGTTTCGCATGAAGGCTTGGTTTTATTTTCTTACCCATTCTCATTGTATTACTGAAAACCCCATGGTGAGTAACAAAATCATTTGTTGTGTATAAATCTGTATTATGATGATAGCTGTGCCTCTGTGTTTTAAAATTCGATTGCTTTATCTCCAGGTTCTAAAGCAACATAAACCTTAGATCTTTCAATAATTTCTGTGTCTAAGATCCCTTTTGCCCTCGTACATTTAAATGAGAGCACTTTGATAAGATGTAAGTAATTTTGTAAAAGATGTAAGTTGTTAGATGTTTGTTGGTTGGAGCCAAAAAGGTGCGCTATGCTCTGGTAATTGACAGTAGAAGTGGTTAGCAAGGCAAATATATCATACAGTGACAACAGAGTTATAGGTGTCTCATGTGGGTGATGTCCCAGGTACCGTCCTCACCAAGATGCAGATCCAGCAAAGCCAAGAGTCCCTGCTGTCATTGACGGGCTGGTAGCCTTCAAAAATAATGACCATGGAGCCTGGGCGCGAGGTGGGGACATCACTTTCCAAAACTGTGGGTACGTTTCCCTTTTTCCTTTCCCTTTTCATCCACAGCGCCTCCTATCTATCAGTGGTTTCCATAAACAGCTACTTAAGCAGCAGATTAGGGTTTAAGGTTTAAGGTTTCGTTTTTGAGCGCCTATGGAAATATAAAAGCCCAGCTGTGTGTGATTCAGTTCAGAACAGGAACATGGGGAAGAAGGGCACTCAAAAATGATGATTATAGACATGTACAACATGAGGCTGAATCTTTAAGAAATTCAGGCTTATTATAGTACTTTATTTATTTTTTAAAAACCTGCAATTCATATGAATGAAACATTGCAATGTATCATTGGTCTTTTTTCCAGTTGAACATATTGGTTAAAACTTTGAAATATTATCACGTGTTGTGTGATTCTGCTGATTTTAGAAATTAAACTTTAATGCTCTGATTCTGCCTTCATTTCAGATTTGCTGATAATGGCATTGGCCTCACTCTTGCCAGGTATTGTTTTTGACATAATATAAGGAATTAAGGAATTCTGAAACTAATTAGCAGTGCAGCTGCATCGGCAGTATTCTTTCCCCCCATTCCTGCATAAGAAAAATACAAAATGACTCCCCTGGAAAGGTTTGATACATACTGCCCACCAAAACAAACTTATCACTCTTAATTTGCAACAGATTCACAAAGTTATCTTGGAATTTTTTTTTTATAGCAGATGCACTGACAGTTTATTGAACAGACATGACATACTGTGGGTAAATTCATTACATTACATTTGTCATCAACAGGATTTATAGTGAAGGTCACTAGGCTAGTAGCTTGTGTGGGCACTGCTAGAATCAATACAAGCTGTACATGTGCAACACCTACAGTACTTTGCAGCAGGTTCAGATTCCTATTTTCTCAGTGCTGTTCACTGGTTTCCGGGTCCACGATGCCCATCTCATTGGGGCTCATGTCTGGAGAGTTGGATCGCTATAGCAGACTTGTCTCTCCCATCTCATGTGAAAGTCGTAATTGTGCTAGGATGCTGTAATGGCAGAATGAGCCTGCAGGAAGTGCAGGGGAAATGGCAGTATGAAAATGATCTTGAAAATGGACCATACATCTCGATGCCAAACTTGGTGAGGTGTCATGACTCATGGTCTCCCAGATTGCAGTCATTCATTGACCTCATTTGGTAAACAGCAGTGGTCCTACTTAGTCAAGCATCCAGCATACCAATGCTCTGAAGGCATTGATCTCTTGATTAGCAGGGTATATTGGTTCCTTTCTGTGTGTATCTCAGTTTTTCACCATGCTTAACATTGAACATGTTACATCACCTGCGTATTCAAAATCTACATGCTTTATTTTTTTAAATGCATACTTTCATACTGTGGATTGACACGTTTCTTGTGATGCTCAGCATATTTATTGTTATCCACTGCAATATTTACTCTAAAAGTGATCTTTTAAAAGGCTTGATCATTTTTGTGAGAAACACAGAAAATTGCAAAAATCTGCAAGTTAAAATGAGCTTAGCATGTAAGTATTAAAAATACTAATGCCGTCCAAACACTAAAATTTACACATTTTACAGATAAGGTTATACACTACAAGGCTATACATGTTTTAAAAAAGTATGGACTAATGAATGGGTTTTTGTTACACTGTAGCACAATTTCAGTTGCCATGTACTGTACAGGGTCTGCTTACTTTTATCATGAAAGGAGCACCTCCACTGGTTAAATGGGCACCATTCAAAGGCCTCTCACCTTTCAGTCTGGGGAACAGCTGGAGTTTGCAGTGTTTTATCAGCCACTAGTATGATTAGATTTAAGAGAGGCATATCTATAGGAATTTGCAAGATACCTTTTTTTAAAGAAAATAAATGTTCTGCTCTGCTTTTTTTTTAACAACGCCATTGGAGCAGTTGCAGAATGTGATAAGCTGTTATCTATGTATTCTCCTATGGAGAATTTATAGGAGTCCTGGAGCCAGGCAATGCTGAGCAGGATATTGAATTAGCCAGTTCTACATTCAGAACATTCTTAGTACAATCACTGCTAGTTGCTTTATTGTAAACTTTCTGTATGCAGAATTATTCAGTAATATGTGATATTTTCTAGACACATTAGGTGGCTGAATGACTGAGTGTTCCTTTTTGCCCTCCAGGACAGTGGTTGCTAAGAGTACAACCTGACATTTGCTTTCATTGAATCATAAGACAGTGTACATTATGACGAATGCTCTAACATATCTTACATATTTCATTTCCTAGTATTTAAAATGTATCAGATGTTAGCGTTCCAGAATATTTGTACTTAATTTAGCCTGCAATTCATTCAGCACTTTGTTATCATTCTGTGAATAGTGATGGAACTTTCCCAACTGATGAGGGCTCCAGCCTGGAGGTGACCAAGTCTATATTTGTCGGCGAGAGCAGTAATGTGGGCAGCCATGGAGGCCAGAACAGCTACTGGGGTGAGGGAGCCAATAGAGAATACAGAACCCTCCCCAGGAACAAGTGAGTTTTTTAATGTATTTTTAACAATTTACCTTCAGGCTTTGGGTGAAATTCAGCCTTAAAGATCACAGATCCCATGTCCTACGCCTTTTGTGTTCTCCTGCAAGTGTGTTCCAAAGCAGGGTCATTCGACCGCAGTCTTGGAGAGCCACATTCCTGCAGGTAGTAGATGGAACCTTTAAACCATCCATCTTGAAGGGCCTGGAACACTTTAACTACGGAACCAATTAAGTAGGTGCAGTGTTCGATAAAGTAGAGAAGTAGAGAGCATTTGCAACAAAATTGGGCACGGTGGTTAACCTTGCTGCCTCACAGTGTAGGAACCCTGGGCTTAATTCCTGGAGTGCTATCTATGTGGAGTTTTGTGTTCTCCCCCTGTTCATATGGGTTTCCTCTCGGTGTGTTTCCAAAGACAAACTGGTAGGTTAATTGGCTTCTGGGAAAGAACTGGTGTTAGTGTGTGTGTATCTGTGAGTGCCCTGCAATTGAACCCCACATTGCGCTTATTGCTTGCCAGGTTAGGCTCTGGCTCCCCCAAGACTCTGTACTGGATAATGTGTTTAAAAAATAAATGAATGGATGAATTAAAACAGAAATCAGAATAGCCCTCATCCCTCAAGGATTAATGTCACCTTCATTGAAACATTATTTGCTTGGTTGACTAATTGCTCAAAGAAGTGTTCCAAGTCCTTAAATACCAAGTGATTTAGGATAACCTATAAGAATAATTTCACTGGGGCCCTCTAACACCTGGGTAGGAGACCCCTGATTTTGGTCCCTGAGAAATAAACAGAAGGATGGTTTAAATCTTGGTGATGGCTGTGACTCTTTGTGTTTTGAGAAAATGACAATTGTTTTTGTTTTTTTTTGTACTGTGAAGGACTTTTCCAATTCGTGGATTCCAGATCTATGATGGCCCTGTCAGATTGACCGAATGCTCCTTCAAGAAGTTCACCCCAACCGCAGACAGGTATTCCAGTGCCTTGGGATTCTTCATGAAGAACGCCTGGCAGGTCAGCCCTCAGAACAACGTGTCCTCTGTCAAGATGGAAAGAAGTGTAAGGACTTTACCTGTCCTATTCCATTTCTTAAACCCTTAACACATTGCAAAGAGAATATTAAAATATATCACAACAACACAGATATATCAGCTATAGAGGTTTTGAAATGATTTTCTCTCTGTCCCTATTTTATGATAATTGTTTGCTCTAGGTTTCATTCCAGTATGGTTTGGACAATCCTAAAATTATTTGTACATTGTTCATGTAGATCTTGAGTTCTTACAGCAGCTGTTAAGACAGCCAAAATATCCTCCATGGACTAAGAAAATATTTAAAGAATGACATGGATGTTTTTATTTATGGCGCTGCAGAAAGTATAGAGGTCATAATGATCTGCAATTGCATTTCCTACTTTTTTGTAGAGCCAATTTAAGGTCAGTGTCCCCTTTCATGGAACTGTTGACTGCATTCTTGTAGAATTGCTTAAGGCACAAATTAAAACAGATGCATAGACTTCTTAAAGCCTGTTTTTCATGACAAACCAATCACAAAATAGAACTTCAATGTCCTATCCTTTTGCACAGAAAAATGTATTGTAGTGTAAGAATGTCTGATATGGGGAGCCTTGTATAGTTCACCTCATTAAGTGTTAGTAATCAGAGATGTAAGTCAAAGAATGTATCAGTACATTTCTAATACTTCTATCAGTTTCTATAGAACAAGGCTGGATTACAGTGTGTCTGCACTATATTAAGAAAAATAGGTCACTGAACAAGCATTTGATATGCAGGAGAAAACCCATCCCTTCTAAAAGTGAAAGCACAACACATGTAACATAATTAGTAAGCTTTTATTTAGTTCTTTGTGGATATTAATAGGGACGTCTTCATTTCATTGCCTCTGGCATTCAATGCTCCTGTCTAACAGCGCCTGAACAAAACCCATTGTTCTAATTGTTCAAAGTAATTACTTTGTAGAGGAAGAGGCTTGCTCTCCTTGCGGATCCTGGACTCTCCTACTTCATCATTCTGTATTTTCCATTTAAACTATCCCCTTTGCTTAGACTAAAAGTCTTTAGGTGCAACAATAGCAGTTCTGTTTTCTTGGCAGAGAATGACTGGCGCTAATTAATTTCACTCTGTACTATAGTCTGTATTAAACGTATGCCAGGCTTGCTCAGATTATAAAAGCTCAAGCAGTTGCTTTGTATGAATTCCCAGGCCAGTGTCATGCCCAAGCTGATTGTGAATTTGTTGGACACTTTTGAGGTTTGAATGTTATTTCCCATTTTCTCAGAAGCTGGATTTCATGTCTATTATTGCCAGCTTTCTGCTATTGTTGCAAAATGATCTATTTAAGAAAAGGCTTTTAGCTAACACCAAGAGAAGGCCCTAATGAAAGGATCAAATAACTGCATTTACACTTTTGAATTGGGTTTTAAAGGTAACAAGACTCTTCTAGCTGTGTAACAGTGTGCCAAACAGTCTGTCTTTTTTGCCACCTGTTTGAGAAAGTAAACTTTCTCCAAATATTTGTTGACCAGTTTTGGCCACTTCGTGACAGACTGAACAGCTGAATCTTGCACATATTTACTGTAGAGATAGATCTGTTTTTTATCTGGTATCTTTGCTTTACGATTAGGTGGGCCTGAATGTATTCTTTGGCAAGCCAGGCCAGTGGTTTGGTGCTAATGACCTAGACGGGGACAAAACCTCCATCTTTCATGACCTGGATGGATCAGTAACCGGATACCCAGATTCCTACATTGCCAGAGTGGACAACTACCTCATCCATCACCCTGGCTGCCTCACTGTACCCAGGTGGAATGGTGTTATATGCAGTGGACAGTATGCACAGGTAATGCACTTGTTTTCTGGAGAAATTATTCTCATAGTGTTTATGGGTTTACCATTCTTGCACAGTCCAGTTTCCCATTGTTCCTATTATGCCTTGCCAGCCCTCTGTATATTTTACCCTTCTTTGATCGTCATGGCTTTCTGCTCTATTGCCCTTTGCTGGAACAATGGAATGTTATACTATGCTTATATAAGAGTTTTCTAAAAGAGCAATGTTCATTTTTCATTGATGGTGAGGTGTAATTCCATTGATGGTGAGATGCTGCAGTGCATGCTCATTTTGAATAAACTGACAAGTGTATCTTGTGTTGGGGTTTGAATTGACGTTTACAAAGCTATGGGTTAAGGAAAGTAGGAGCAAGCATCATTTTCAATACATCTATATTTCTTTCAATTGGATGTGGGTTAGCAACTGTAATTCTGTTTTAGGAAACTTATTTAGGAAGACAGATACCTTATTGAATTTTGAAACCTGCTTTTTGCTGTCATACAAGACATTGGCTACACCACAGGATTGTAAGTATGACTGGGGAAAAAATGCTATGGATTAAAAGCTCCAAATTATCTCCCCATTGGGATAGGATCTTTAGAAATCAATAGGGATTTTCATTTGACCTGAAGTGTATTGTAGTGATTCCAAAGCCTTAAGCCTAGTTTCAGCATGCATTTTTACATTTAGATGTAGTATATCCCAAACCTTTCCAGTTTTGCAATCATTCAATTAATATCAAGATCTTGATCAAATTTATGTTCTGTGCCAGATGTTTTGCACATCTGCATTATCTATTGCCTGTCAGTACTTATTTTAGAATACATGAATTTTGTTACTTATGTTGGTACATACTGTACTAGTTTATCTGTTTCAAGTCAGATACTTAGGGTTGACTCCAGATAGAAAAATACTTTCCAATAAATTAAATATATGCAAATGAGAAGAAGCCATTAGGACCATCTAGCTCGTTTGGTTATTAGAAGCTAATTAATCTGAGGATCTTATCCAGCCATTTTTCTAAAAGCAGCCAGGTTATCCTCTATGTCAATATGGCTGAATTGTTTGTTCCACAATATGTATAAAGAAGTGACTTCTTTTCTTAGTTTTTAAATGCACATCCAAGAAGTCTGCACTTGAGTGCTCTGGTTCATGTTTCACTGTTCATTCTGAAGAAATCCACTGGGTTGACTTTATCATTTCCATTGAGGATTTTGAATACTTGAATCAGTTCCCCTCATATTCTTCTCTCTGCGAGACTATTAAGGTTAAATGCTTTTAGCCTGTCAGTGTAGAAATTTCCTTTCAGTCTAGGACTGTATCAGATTGCTCCTCTCTGAACTTAATCCAGAGCAGCAATATTTTTTGTAATGTGGTCACAAAATTGTACACAGCATTCTAAATGAGGTTTTAGTAAATCCTTCTTTGAACAATACAGTGCCTTGCAAATGCAACCAGACCCGGTTCACAGTGCATAGTTTTCACAGTTTTGTTGTTTTAAAGCTTGCAGTTATGACACTTTGTAGTAGAAATTAATATTTGTTCTATACACAATCTGCAACACACATTCAAAGCAAAAAAAAACAGAAAAGAAACAGGTATAGTTAATATGGAAGAAAATGGAAAATCATTATTTCATAAGTTTTCAAACCTTTGCTGTAGCAAACCTAAATTAATTTAGATAAACAAAATAACATTAATGAGCCACCATCCATGTACACGTACAGTAATACAATACAATAAAGTTCATATGAGTTCAGAATAAATATGTCTTTTTACATAAATATGTCTCTTTAAGGAGCTTCAGTCAAGTAGTGAAATTCAAGTAAAGATTCAACCATGAAAGCCAAGGAGCTTTCAAAACAGCTCTGGGATAATGTTCTAGAAAGAGAAGGATACACAAAAATTCAAAGACAATCACACTTTGGACATGGTGAAGCCGATCAAGAAGGTAATGGAAAGGAAATGGAAAGTATAAAATACTACCCAGACACCCAGCATAGATCAGGGTGTCCCTTCAAAATTCCATAAATCAAACCTGGACTGTATAGCCATGTGGAAAGAAGGAAACCATTATAGAAAAAAACGCCAAAAATTCTATGAGTGGACTGGCAAAGTCAAAGTCCTGTTGAGAATACGTGGAATGACTTGAAACCTACTGTCCATAAATGAGCCCCAAGCAACAGGAGAGAGCTTGAGCCAATCTGCCAAGAAAACACTTGCCCCTAAACCA